GCGCTTTCAAATTCTGGAAAGCCTTGCTTCATCCCCAAGTTTGTGGGGTGCCGGGACGGCAATTTGCTACTTTATATTACCAAGATATGAATGAATTTTCGAAAGTAACGGAATAGATTCAATTGTTAATCTGAATTATACAAGGGCGTGTGTTGATCTCTCTCGAGTACTAGTGATCAGAACTCATAGTCTAAACGCCAAAACCGAATTCGAAGCTGAAATAGCAGAGTTGTGTGCCAGAACGACAAAGTTGTGTGCGCGTCGATTGTGCATAGACAGTGCGACCCGCAAATAGCATTTCCTGAGAGAGGAAAGAGGGGGAAATCAACAACTGGCGCAGAGGCGCCCGTTGAAGTTTAGCACCAGCGCTATGGCTGCGTCTGCGTTTCTCAGTTTCATTCATTTTCTGTGCCATTACCCTCATTCCTCCACCTTCTTCAGCTTCTCCCACCCAACATTCTCTCCACTTTAATCCCAATTTCGACCCAGAAATTGACCTCTTCGGCGATGCCAACGTCGTCAACGGCGGAGCATCTAGCTCTGTCTTATTCTGCGCAGAAACCTATCAAGTTTATCCATCTCCGGATGACGGCGACAGTGGTCTTCTTGATTTAGTTCCTGGTAGTTTCTCACTCAGATTCCCGGAAAATCGTCATTTGGGCTCTCGTCGGAGAATAATTATCTGGGCCTCCAATTTGACACCTCAATGGAGGACAATGAAGGTGACATCAATGCAAATCACGTAGGGTTGAACGTGGGCAGTCTGGCGTCGGTCGCTGTGGGTAACGTTTCGGCAATGAATCTGGTTCTTAAAAAGTGGATGAAGCAGAAGGCTTGGATCGATTACGAAGCAAGTTTAAAGAGATTAGAAGTGAGGGTGGGTGGAAAGGACCATTGAATCCTATCATTGCGCAGGGGATTGATTTGTTAAGAATATGGGGAGGTCGCGACGTGTTTGCTGGCATAATCTCTTCAAATCGGGGCGCCTCAGCACAGATTATTAATGTTTATTCAAAAAGGATGCATTCTGTGCCAGCGGATCCCGGAGATGAACGCGTCACGACGCAGGCAACAAATTGCACTGCTCTGGCGGCTGATTTTCACGACCGGATGTGTTGCGTTGATTTCATTTTGTGGTGCTGTTGGTGTGGGCAATCATTGGCAGCTGGCGGGCGGAGTCTGCTGCGGATATCAGGTATGAGAGTATCCATGTGACTGTTGAGCAAAATACTCCATGTCATGGGACATCCGCTAGGTGATGTCTTTTCTTAGCTTGAGACCCAGCCACTTCTATTGTTGAAGGAGTTCGGAAAAATAATTTTCACATCTTGGAAGCTTGGCATGCCTCGCTCTGCGGATAAATAATAACACTCATATCATGCTTGTTCCTCCGTCGTTATGATTATAAACGGGTCAATAGGAAACATCCTCTCTCCTTCCCCTTTGTCCATATCATTCCTCCATTCCTTCCATATTCTTCATTTCTTATTTTCACCCTTAGCTCCCAGTCTCATAACACTCCGGCCCATTTTGACAAAATAACAGTCGAGAGCCACAATCATCCTTTTTTTTTTTTCCTTCTTTCACTCCTCGTGTCCACAATCTTTTTGTTTCTCTCTCTTTTTATACTCAAGATCAAAACATTAGATTTTAAAATTATGTGTGTGTGTGTGTGTATATATATAGATTATTTATTTATTTATCAACATAGTTTAAATCAACTTAATAACACTCACTTTCAATTTATTCTTCAATTAATCAAGGTGTGACTTTCTTTGTCATACAAGAAGTGGAACATTTAATGACAATTAGAAGGAATAAAGAGGGTGGTTATTGGCCCGCCGTATAACCGGTGCTGGGCTGTCTCTTTCTTTTTCTTTTTCTTTTTTTTGGGAATAGAAGTGGAATTTCAGTAACAAATATGTACAAGATTACAACAAGAAGAAATAGAAAGAACCAAGTTTCAGGATCGATGGATTTCACCGGATCATGTGCTTTAATAGTAGCCTCAACTAGATTGTGAGGATTATCAACCTCATCTAAGAATCTAAGAATATTCTTCTATTTCTGTTAGCCCAGGGTTTCCAGCAAAGGATGCCAAAGCTCAGTCTCCAATGCGTGCCCATGAGTGGCGGGTTCAGGTTACCGATGTTGGGCCGTTGTTTGAAGGAGAGATCGTAATGTAGATAGCGTTTTATTTTGCAACGTAAGCTCTTGGAAATGTCCCACTCATCTATACGAATTCATTCAATCATCGGATTTTTACAAAATGTGCAAATCTACGTGTGCCTGTCGTGGATTGACCAGAATACTCAGGTGATATGAATCAAATATGAGGAAGAAACGAAATAAATGAAAAATGCTTAGACGCACTAGTTTTTATTTGAAATTGTATTGAATAGAATGTCAGGTATTTGTATTGCGACTCGATTGGCCATGACAGTGGATGAATATAAATGGGGAAAGGGGTCAAAGGTCAAAAGACAAAAGCTAAAGCGACTTGGATCAGGCTTGCCACTAATTTGAAGAGCAGATGTACACATAACGAGTGGTTGTGAATTGATAGATATGGCTGAAGAAGAGGTTTATTGGTATCTTTTAAAAAGAAAAAGCAAACTGCAAGATGCCGAGCCAACATCAACCACAAGCGGAGTTTGACGTTTATGAGTGGATGGATGCTCTCCCCTGATTAGCCTTGTCTTGTTCCTGCTTCTTTTATTTCCCCTTTCTTTTTGAAAAGAAGAAGAAGCAAAAGTTGACAAGAAATATGGAATTTGAATAATTACTAGTTCAAGACTTTTAATTATAAATAAGATAAGGTCTTTACATTCTAACATAACTCTCACTCTATAAAATTTTATTATAATTGTTGAATTAATATTTACAACTATTTTTTTATAAAGAAAAGTTAAAAACTTAATCGTCATTAATTTTTTTACGGAAACTTTGTTGTCATTATCCCTTTCTTCTTTATAGTGTAATTTTTTGTGCCAAAACATCTAGAGTTTATATATTTTTTGATCAAAACAAGTTAATTTTATTATCCAAAGTTTATACTATTAATTAATTATTTCTAAAAAAAATAAAGTAAAAGGAAGCACGCAGATGGTGGTGCCCATTATAAGAGCCATCAAAGGCAAAAAGGAATACAAAGGACAAAGGGCGAGGGACTTTAATTTGTTGCCAATTGCTATCCTCGAAAGTTAAGTCCAATCAAATGCTCTGCATTCATGCTTTATTCTTTTTTTTTTTTTTGACGGTCTGTGTTCATGTTTCCTAGACGTCAATTTCTGCAAATGAAAGAATCATTAGATATGAATTGATTTAGATATTATGTCTAAAAAAAAGTACTATTGTTAGATTCAAAATTCAAATATCATTTGTTGTGATCGCGTCAAAATAAAAATAATGCTAAAATTAATTAAAATCTAAACAGTCTGAGCTTAATATTATAATTTCAGTTGCCTGATTAGAAAGTTGAGTATAATATTATTTCTCTTTTTTAGCAAAAAAAAGAAAAGAAAAGAAAGAAAGTGTTTCCCTTTTTTGGGTGAACCTTAAATACGTGTAAAGAATTCGGAATATCGCTTGACCGGTTTTCCTCCACCACTTGATGACTAGCCACTTAATGCCAATCATGCATCATATTCTAGATTCCCTCATCACGACAAATCAAATCATTTAGCTATTATAATCTGAAAAAATAATAATAAAATTTATTTAAATAATATAAATAATAATTTTATATCTCAAAATATTATAATTTTATTAAAATTTTTAAAATTTTTCTATTATTAATAAATTTATATAAATCATAAAAAAATAAAAAAATTTATAAATTTTGTTTAAATAATTTTAATTTTTTTTATATTCGTAATAATACAATAATAAAAATAATTTGTTGTTACATTATTGTAAATATATAAAAATGTTATGATTATTTAAATAAAATTTAAAATTATATTATTTTTAACAAGTATAATTTAATCATTTATATAAATTTATTAATAATAAAAAAACTTTTAAAAATTTATGTAAAATTATGATATTTTAAAAAATTAATTTTTTATTTATATATTTTTTAAAAAATTATTCTCGTTATTAATTTATTATTCTTTCAGAATACGTGGGCCTGTACGAGCCTCTGTGTGTGTGGTCTTTTCTTTCTTCTCTCTCTCTCTTTTTTCTTTTTTTTTGGTTTGGGAGGGGGGGATACGTACCGTTATAGTTTGCTTAAAGGATGCTTGGTATAATTAAGAGTATATATATCTGTTAAAACTTAAAAAAAAAAAAGACCTGATTTGACGGCGAGAAAAAAGATACAAAATAATATTTGGAAATAATAGTAAGATCCAATAGAATTATATGGAGGTCTGATATTAGGATTTTAGAATAGGAAGGCAATATGGCGAAATAATGAGGGGAGTCATGGGGATGAGACGTAGATTAGGAAGAGTGGGGATATTTTAGAGAGAGACGCAAGTAATCACGACATGAAAGCTGGTGCAGGCCCTCATACTGAACACTACTCTCTCTGGAGAAGGAAATTAAAGGAAACAAGAAAAAACAGAGGATTACATAGAGTACGGAGTGAATGGATGAATCAATTCATCCACGTCTTCCATCTTGTTTCTCATCTACGAATCTATCTTGTCTCTTTTCCTATTGAAGGCAATATTTTTTAAGACATGATCAGACATTAAATGTAAACATATATAATTTTTATGGAGCATATATGATTTTAAGAATGGACATTCCGTGAGGCAACATTTTAATCAAGCCATGAATAAAAAGACTGAATAATGCTAATTAATTGGGTGACGTGAATGTTTATGGGACAGGATTTACCAAATGAAAAATTGTATTAATATTTTTCCAACATTTTAGTATAATGCGAGACAAAAACGGCATGTTGTATGTATAAAAACTTGGCTTCATTCTCATGAAATGTTTACCGAATAAAAAGTGAAGTGTGGGGATATTTTATTTAGATTCATTTAAAAGAAAGCGAGGCATACGAGATATGTGAATGGAGAGGCGGGGAGCAAACCTTATATATGAAAGGAGAAGCGAAGAGGTGCGACAATAGCGCAGTCTGTTGAGAGAGAGGGAGAGACAGAGAGAAGCACGAGTAGGAGAAGGAAGAGCAGCGATGGGGAGAGACAGAGCCCATGTCGTCGAGCTTAGTTCCCAGAATGGCCGCCCCCTTAAAAATGGAGTCGACGTTGAATCCCCCGACACTGCACATCAGATCAGCACAGGTTTGGTTCCTCCTCTTCCTTTCCCTGATCTTCATCAGTCTTCTCGTAGGAGGCTGGATTCAATTGAGGAAAGCTCCAGTATATATGCATTCTCGATTGCCACCCAGAGCGAGCGAGAGAGGGTCCCATGAACAACACGAATTCACTAACAAAAACAAACCAATCGCTTTTCTTTCTTTTCCCGCCTGCTTAATTCTTCTAAATTAGTGTATGCCACGGAAAGCCTTAATGTTTCGGTCTCGAGAAAAATACAAGAGAGGAGCGCATTGGAAATCAAGGAATGTGTATTTACTGATGATGAAGTTTTCTTTCAAACACGCAATCATTTGTTCCACAATTTTCTGAAGGATTCAACTGCCATTAATTTATTTGAGAAGTACTTGGTTGGTCCTCATATTTAGTATTGTTGTGTAATGTTTGAACAGATTCATGGTTCCAAGTGGGTTTTGTGCTGACGACGGGTATCAACAGCGCTTATGTACTGGGATACTCAGGGACGGTCATGGTTCCGCTGGGATGGATACCTGGTGTAGTTGGTTTAATCTTGGCAACTGCAATATCACTATATGCAAATGCGCTTGTTGCTAGGCTCCATGAATACGGAGGAAAAAGGCATATCCGTTATAGAGATCTTGCCGGATTTATATACGGTACGGCCTGCACCAGTGCTTTCTCCTGCATACACGTCTCTCTCCCAAGTCCTATCCCATTCATTTCATTCAAATTGCAGGTAGAACAGCGTATTCCCTCACCTGGGGGCTACAGTATGCTAATCTCTTCATGATAAATACGGGCTATATCATTCTGGCTGGTTCGGCCCTCAAGGTAAGGGATGTTCCATCAAATATCAGTGATGTCGTTCGTGTGAACAACTGCTCTTACTCGGGCTTTTGGATCAGCTAATAAACTACCCATGCCTTCTCGATGCTGTTCATTTTGTAGTTTTCTGAGTATTTTCTGTTCACTCTGGCCCAGGCCTTTTATGTTCTGTTTAGGGATGACCATGGGATGAAGCTTCCATATTTTATCGCCATAGCTGGTTTTGTGTGTGCAATGTTTGCCGTATGCATTCCCCATCTTTCGGCTCTTGGAATTTGGCTGGGATTTTCGATGGTCTTCAGCTTGATATATATTGCTATAGCAACTTGGCTGTCGCTCAGAGATGGTAAGGCTCTAATTGTTGACGACAACAGTTTAGAAAACAGACTTTATCCGAGAACAAACTTTTTCGACACGTGCTTGATTTGCTAAGATGCATTTTTATTTTTATTTGATTCTCGGGGCATTGAGTTGATAAATTGCCTATTCGCACCTTGAATTTGGACTGACTATCAGTTAAAAACAGGAATAAAATCTCCCGCGAGAGATTACAGCATTCCAGGAACATCAACGAGTAAAATATTCACGACGATTGGGGCGACTGCTAATCTCGTGTTTTCATTTAATACAGGAATGCTTCCTGAGATTCAGGCAAGACAGGAGCTCATAATTCATCCAATGTCCATCACATGATAAAATCATTCAATGACATTGACTTTCGTGTTTGGTTTCTAACACCACAGGCAACAATCAGGCAGCCAGTTGTGAAGAACATGATGTGGGCTCTGTACTTTCAGTTTACTGTTGGAGTTCTACCACTGTATCTGGTTACTTTTGCAGGCTACTGGGCTTATGGATCTTCCACACACAGCTATTTGCTGAATAACGTGAATGGACCTGTCTGGATGAAGGCCGCCGCCAATGTCGCAGCCTTTCTTCAGTCGGTCATTGCATTGCATGTACTTGTGCCTAAACTAGAATTTCTTTCTGCTCTAAAACGTGTGCTAAGATTGTTTCGTTGCCCAAATAACCTCCCTCCCTCTCTCTCTTTTTTTGGGGGCTTATGATAGATATTTGCAAGTCCTATGTATGAGTACGTGGACACCAGGTGTGGCATCACAGGAAGCGCACTGGCCATTAAGAATCTGTCATTTCGAGTGTTGGTAAGAGGGGGCTACCTGGCCTTCAACACATTTGTGTCGGCACTTCTGCCCTTCCTCGGAGATTTCATGAGCCTCACAGGGGCCATAAGCACATTTCCCCTGGCATTTATCCTTGCAAACCACATGTACCTGGTGGCAATGAAGCACAAACTAACATCCTCGCAAAAGCTCTGGCACTGGCTCAATGTTTGGTTCTTTGGCCTCTTGTCTGTCGCCGCAACAGTTGCAGCCCTACGGCTTATTGCAGTCGACTCCAAAACCTACCATGTCTTCGCTGATTTATGATTCATTTCTTTCATGATATTTCAGCAATTGTAAGGCCCACGATTTATGCATTAACTATGCTTTCTGTAAAACAAAAATAAATTAAAGTCGAGACGCTGAACTCCCTCAAAGCTACTGAATTATTGCGATAATGTCACGGGTTCAGGCATTCCAATCACAAATCATAGTCCAACTCCGAAGTATGGTCCAATAACATGAGTTGATGTGCTTCGCTAACGTAAGTCCATATACTTTCTTCACAAGCCATCTATGTTACCGATATAAATCAATTCAATATATGGAGATCTTGATAACATCAGATTAAAAAATCGAATATAACACCCAGAAAAAGTCACAATGTCTCCAATCTATGTAACTGGTAAGCAGCATAGTTTTAGTGAATAAAGAATCAAGACAAATACTTTAGTAGTTATTTCTACAAACAGAAATGGTCACCCACCAAAAAAATTATCCTTGAATTATTCCATGAAAAACTGCGATCCTGCGATCGTAAGCAAACGGGAAACTGAAGTCATTATGTCACTTACGCCATGAGCATCTTCTCTGAATAAGAAAATGAAAATCAATACTCATTCAATTCTCTTTATAAATCATTTCTACCAACTTCATCAATATCAATATAAAAAAAAATATTAAAAATAAAAGTATAAACAATTCCATATATACCCCTATATAATAAATTTAAAAAGTACTACCACATTATTTTTTTCTCTTATAAAAAGTAATTTTAATAATATTTTTTAAATATTATTTAAAAAGTCGCACCATGACTTATAAATAAAATTAAATATACTTTTTAGAATGTGTCTTATAAATGAGACCATAATGGAAATGATGAAAGGATATTGCCATCAACATAGACCCATAAGATTTTACAGTTTAGGGTTATTTTTAAGTTTTAGTCTAATTGTAAATTATTTTACTAAAAGTATCCTCCATAAAAAATACGTAACATGATATCAATATGAAATATAAAAACTTCAATACGCTGCACTTTTCATAGGCAGCTTACAGTGTATGAGATGCACTATTCATAGGCAATGTACATTGTATTAATACTTCAATCTGAAAATACAACTACATTCCAGTAATAATTCCTTGCGTTCACAATCAAAATGGAGAAGAAGATAGAACTACTGATCACTAGAATTGTTAACCAAATTCTGCCCATGTAATAAATACGAGCAGTATGGATAAATAAAAACGCACCCTGTACACTTAATAGTAACAAAATCAGATATACTGATTTTTGTGTACTGCTGTTTTTTATTGGTGAAACACATGAAAAGCTGAATGTACTAACATGACAGCAGATATACATTTCAATTCAATCAACATTTAACAGTCATCACTGTATCTTGCAAATGTAGTAACAAAATCATTCCGAAGCTTACAACAGGCATAAGCATTGGTATGTCACCATTCCAGTCATCATCCCGAAACCAACTTTACAACAATGAAGATGGTGTTCAGAAGCACAAGAGGTACTCTCAGGTATTGAGTTGCGTATATGAGGCCAATGAGCTGGCCTTTGAATGATTTTGCCTTGTCACCTGTATGAGCTGAGAAACTCCATCCTCTAGGAGCAAGAAACCGATCCTCATTTAATATTGCTAGTGCATTTGCAAGAAGCAGAAACCCCTCAAGTATTGTCCAGAGTCCCATTCTCCTGCATTGCAAAGAAATCCGATTCAACTTACTAATACCTTCAAGCCGCAAGTCATTTGCAGTTGCTCCATCTAATGGGGTTCCATGGGTAAGAGTAGAGAGAAACAAAATAACAATCAGCCAGACACATCGACTTCTAGAAAAGCTGCTGCTGACCTGTCCCTCAAATTCCACCACATGAACTGTCTCGCATCCCAAGGATCCCAATAACTCCTTAAGATAATGGAGGTTTAATTTTATTCATCAAACTAAACTCAATCTTCTTCATGGTTCGTCTAATTAGAAAATTACAACTGACTTAAACAGAAGATTTGATATGACAGAACAAAGAGTGATGCTATTGAACTTGCCTAGAGCGATTTCAATTTAGAACGAGAAAATGACAGTCATTCTGCGTAATGGAAGCGTTTAGATATGTTAAAAAGGATGTTTTATTAAAAATCTAAACCATCCAGATGAACTGGAAGACAAAGATTAGTTCAAAACGAACGACTTCTCTTCTCACCATAAAAGGATCCATCTTAAAAATTGGTGCAGCGCCAGTTAGCAAATAGCAATAAAGGAGTTCATTCTAGAGTAGAGCATCGATCACGTAAGAGTAAAATGCAGAAACCCTTGAAATAGTACGATGCAAAAAGAAACACGGACGAGACTGCTACCCTGGAATATTATTATTATTTTTTAATTCAATTGTGAGTTCAGAAACTACCAACGGATTAACGTTTCTTCCCTCCGGTCTAGCTTGATTTTGGAGTTTCTATTATTAAATTTCAGATCAAACTTCAAACTACAGCCTTCAAAAGCAACGAATCGGCGCAGGCAGACGCAAGCATTTTAAAAAGTCTAATCTCAACTACAAGTAGAGCAAAGGAATACCGATGAATTAACAGAAATATTAAGCTGAGGTATTCCAAACGAAAACCAGAGAAAACGATTGAGAAAAGCGCTGATGACTGCGAATCCCAGATCTACAGGAAAAATGGAAGAAGCGAAGGGAGAAAGCCAGCAGAAGGTAACCTGCAAACGAAGGTAGAGGGAGGTGAACGGTGGATGACGTTGCCACAACGGGTGTCGACGAAGACTTTTTTTTTTGGGGGGGGGGGGCGGGGTGGGGAGGCAGCTCAAAGGACGCTGATTCACACAAGGCAGCAGATGCAGCTACAGAGAGAGATCACGGCAGCCGGCGATCGTAAAATCGTGATGTCAGCATGCCATCGGTGGCGTGGAGATTTTTTTCTTTTTTGGGTTGCCTCTGGGCCAACTGTGTATCCACTTGGGAAGGCGGAATGGCAACATAATATGGCAATACTCGTACCGGAAAATTTTAAAATGAATCATTTTGAAAATTATCCTTGTGACCATAGTTAGTGTATCTGGAAGTTTGTAATTGAATGAAAAGAAACAATTATTAATAAAATTAAATAAAATGTAACAGAGTGAAATAGAATAAAATTTTTAATCATTTAAAAGTTTTACTATAAAAATAAATGATTTTATATAACTATGTGTGAAAATTATTATAAAATAAATGAAATGGAATGATTTAAAATTTTTTTTCTTTCAATAATAACCATATGACTAAATTTAAAGAAAATAATAATATCGATTATATCCAATAAAAATTAATAATAATAATTAAAATTAATAGTTAAACAAGATATTCAATAATTAAAAATAAAAAAAAAAGCAACAAAGCTATTTAAGCAAATACTACCATTGTATAAGAGGAAAACATAACAGAATCATAGTGTTGAAAGGCGCGACAGAGAGAGATGGTCAGAATGAAAGAGATATGATAAGAGATAGGGCTATGTACTATACCTAAATGCTCAATCAGCCCAACCTTGCTCAAAACATTTGGGTGCATGGGGTTAGGCATTGGTAGGAAGTCAAACCCTATCTTACCTTTTATTTTTAAAATTTTATATGAATAATATTTATCTTATGACTTTATTTTTTATCAAAAGTTATCATAGATTATATTATTTTTATAATCTTTTAGATATTTTTTATCATTATAATTTTTTAATCTCTTTCAAAATTTAAAATTCATTTTTAATTTAGTATTATGTAAAAATAATTGACAATTGTTGTTCATTTAAACTTTTAAAAAATTACTTTTGATTCTAATATTATTTTTATTTAAAATACGTTTTAAATAATAATAATGATAATGATAATGATAATAATAATTTTTTCAAGGAAAACTTTGTCTATATGTATTTTAGAAAATACTTGTAAAACCTTTTTTTCGATCAATAGCTCGCCTAGTGCCCAAGTACATATTGAGTTAGGGTGATGTTTGGCCCGACTCTGCCCATGTACAATTCTAGTAGAAGGTAAGACAGATGGCTGAAAAATAAAAATAACAAATGAGATTTTTTTTTATAAAGATAGAATGTTATGAGTAATTTTATAAATGAAATAATTATACTGTATCATTTCATCCTTGACCTCCCAATTTGGAGAACAAAAGCTATTGAACTATAAATAACAAAGGAGGATTTTAGAGGCTTTCATTATCATTCCATTCTTCTTTAAAAAAAAAACTAACAAACAATAATTTATATCTCTTAGCCATCTTATTTTATTTCATTTTCCTCTAAAAAGAATCTCCTAAATATAGTGTAAATATATGGATAAAAGTACAAATTTAATCAATTATTTTTTAAAAAACATTCGATAATTTATATTATAAAATTTTATAAAATAAATCTTAAACTTTAAAAAATAAAACATTCAATACCTCCAATTAACTTTGACTATGCAGACGTTAGTTTTTCCTATGGCCCACTAAATTTTGATAGGTGGCTCCTCTCTTTTTCTCTCTCTCATTATTGTCTTTTGCTACTCGTACTCCATAGTTGTTTGCCTCCTCCCTCTTCAAGTTGTCAGCATCAATGTTCAGGCTTCACTAATCCTAACGACGACCACAAATCTTCCACGCTCCCATTTCCTTCACCGTTGACCATTGTGCAGCTCCCCTCGACTCGCCTTTGACCATCGTCATCTACTAGAGTTCTAAGTTCTTCCGCCACCGTTTGCAATTGCATCTGTAGATCCATTCGCCTTGTCTAGTGGTAGAAGAGGTGGCCGTGCAATGATGGGTTGAACAAGTCAAACATAGCGAGCCACCTCCAAGGCAAAGCTAAGCGGGTTAGCAGGTGAGACAATGACTCCAAGAGGCAAGAGAGAGAAATATAGAACAGGAATGTGTGGAGAAGAAGGGGAAAGAATGAAGGTGACATGATGTTTGGAAAGAGAGATGAGGGAAGTGAGGAAGGAAGCAAGGTTTCTGACTGGGCAAAGGAAGAGGGAGTAAGACAGGTAGTGGTTGGTGACAGAGTTGATAAGGACGGCGATGGAGGAAGTGGTGCCAGGGAGGAGAGAGAACGCGACGAGTTGAAGAAAAAAAACATTATATTACAATAAATAGCGAAATAATGAATTGTAATGGTTTTAATGAGCTGTTGCATGCTCATGGCATGTAAATAATTTTTGATGAACTCACAGGCCAAATAGGCGCATAGGAAGACTTATCATTCTGCCACATGAATTCGATCACTCTAGCTAGAACTCCATGTCTGTCATCTCTCTCAACAAGGCTGTATGGTTTCTTGTCTTTGATAATTCTCTTAACTAAGATAGGTGGTGGCCGATGACAGGGTCGGTGAGGATGGTGGTGGAGGAAATGGTAGTAGGGAGGAGAGAGAATGCAAAGGCAATGATGGAGAGAGGTTGAGAGAGACGAGGAACATGCCCATGGTCAGGGCGGATGCTATAGAGTTTGGGTCGACAAGAAGATTAGGTTTTGCTTGGGGTTGGTTGGGCAATGACGACGGCATTGATTAATAGAGCTTCCAAAATTCTGGGAGAGTGAGTGAAGTAGGTGGGTTTCATAGTATTAAAAATAAACAACCATAAGTGAAAAATGGATGGCAGACATACTGATTTTGATAGTTGATAATTTATTTTACATCATCTTATAATATAGGTTATCTAATGATTCTTAAAAAATAATTTAAAAATATGTTTAAGTTGATGTATACTCTACCCTTGTATTTTGTATTGGCTAGTTGAACACCTAAAGTTAAAGAGGTGTCAACTTGAGGGGGTGTTGGAATATTATAAATGATTAGTATTTAATCACTTAATTATTTAGTAACTCTAAATCTATATAAAAAGGTCATATCATTATGTGGTGTAAGGGAGTTATATATCACCTTCAAAGAGGGAGGTTAATAAAGTTACTTATCTCAAGTTAGTTTTTAAAATGAGGTTTGTTCATCACTCAAGTGAGGTGAATGATTTGTAATCTTCAAGTGAAGAAAGTTTGTATTGTTAGTAATCATCATTGAGTTGATTAATGAAATATTTTTTTCTTCACCATTTTCTCAACAGATTGGTATGAGTTGGGAAAGTCAGATCCCCGAGGCACAGGCATGTATTTTATAGGCACTCAACAAAAATGCCAGGCTTGTGAGAAAACAGTCTATCCGCCGTGGCACTTCTTACCATAAGGCTTGCTTCAGGAGCTCTCACCTGCAAAGGAACCTTCAAGGCAGCCTTCTTTTGTTCACTTCCTAGTATCTAGGCTCCATTGTTGATTCAACCGCGTATGAGTGATTTACGTTGGTTTTATACCATGATTTGTTAAGCTTGCCAAAGATATTTGGTTCCATTTGGTGCTCTGCTTTATATTAACTAGTACTGGCCCGTGCAATGTACGGGTTGAAAAAAATTTTAAAAAGTAAGTAAATGATAATACTTAATAATTATTTAGAATATAAGACGTTAATGAGTGAAAATAATTTTTAAAATAAACTTTCTAATGTTGCTGACGTGTACAAATTAAACCACACACTACTTCAAAATTAAAAACTTTCTTATCATTTAATTAATTTAAAATTTTTTAAATTAATCATGAAATCTTTTGTAGTCCTTTTATTATCCAAACCTTCAAAATAATTTATTCAAACAATGTCCCGGTAGTTACATTTTTATATCTTTAAAATCATATTCATATTATTCATAAATTTAGAGTAAAATACATTGACATTTCCTCCATTTTATCTTAATCAAAGATATCTTCATTCTATTTGTGAAATCCATATGAACCTCCCGTTAAATCATATACTATATTGAACCAAAATACCTCTTTTTAAATATAAATATTGTCTAAAAATCATTTAAATTACCCCAAAAATTATGTTTTTATTTATATTTAAAATTTTATAATTATGAAAATTATTTATTTAGTACTTTTAAAAAAATTAACGTATAATTGGCTAAAATAATATTCACATGTGCAGTTAAAACATTTATGAAATAAGAATTTAATATAATAAATTACTTAATATAATTTATGTTAATTTTTCTTCAAATTTCATCAATTATAATAAAAAAATTAAATTATTTATTTGAATACACATACTTAATCATTTAAAGTTTTTTAAAATTGGTAGAGAGAATAGGCAATCAGATCATAAGGGAAAATTAATAGTTTTAAAGCTTTTAACACAATTGCAAATAAAAAAAAATAAATATTTTAGCATCTTTAATAGGATATTCCTAAAAAGGTTGAAGATTGAACTAAAATGTAAGTTTTATAAATAAAGGAGAGATCTCTGTAATTTTAGAGAAATGGAAGAAAGATTATTGTATTTTACTTATAAATTTAATTCATTGTTTTAATAATAAGGGATGAAAACAAAAATTCATCCCAATTAGCTTGTGCAGTTAGCGTAGAACTTTCATGAATTTGTACTGCAAGAAAAAAGATTTGAATTCATTTACCAACATCGGAGTAAAATGAGGGTAAAGATACAAACACATACCATGCTTCTTTTCCTCGATATTGCCATCACCCGCATATGAAATATAGTAGGCATCTAATTAAAAGATAAGATCAAGCAAATAACAAAAGGAAGACCTTAATGAAGATAAATCATAACAATTTTGTCTATTCTAACACATAAACCAAAATCTTAATAAGCATTAACAAGCATTTTGTTCTTTTGTGTTAACCTATCCTGATGCATCTGAAGAGGAAAACTGAACAATGAAGTGAAGGAATCCAATGATTCAAACCTGTGCTTTATTAGTATCTATAACAAGATTTAGTCCACAAAGCGGTGCACCAAGTTACCTGACCGGGAGGTGGTCACTCCAAGAGCAGTCTTGGATTAAACATAAATGTAGAGAAAGGAAAGAAGAAAGAGGTAATTGTCATGGTTTAAAAAAAAAAAAAAAACCTATCACTTACAGTTGCAACTAGAAATTGTATGCATGAGGGGTTTGTAATTGTTTCCACTTTTTAAGAGAGAACGGGGTTGTGGAGCTTTAAATCTCATCATGTCAAAAAATTGATGTATTTTTTTAATAGGAAAATAATATAAGGTCAGGTGCCGTTCTGAAATTCCAGCATTCACAAAACAATTATACATGTAACTACCAACTTGTTTTTCAACTTTTTGGAATAACAATTATTGTCAAAATTTTTGCAAGATTTTTGGAATAAAAATTTATAATTATGAATAAGAAGTTGAAAGTTAGGATAATGAACAGATTTTTGGGGCTAGCAGCGGGAAAGTTAAAAGGAAATTGCATATTATCAAAGTCTTACTTATATATGTATATTTGCTTATTTTATTTCTAAACTATAAATTTGAATTTGATTATTATGTTTTAAATTATAAATACATTAATTGAAAGTTGGGTTAAAGAAGAGATATATGGCAGTGAAGTAATTTTATTTATATTGATATTTTAAATAAAAAATATGAAAATATCAATGACACATGGCATTATTAAATCTAAGCTTGCAATTCTACTTGCATATATATAGAATTTAAATAATAAATAATAAAACATAAAAATATCAAGTACACATGGAATTATTAGACCTAAAATTGCAGTTGTATTTATATATATATATATAATTAATATATAGATTAGAAATTTGAAATTATACAAAAATATGTTAATGGGAAGTACGAATAATTTCTTTATTATTTTTAAATTAAAATTTTGAAATTGTAAATAAGCAAATAGGAAGTTGAGATAGTGGGAGATATTTTGGGGTAAAGTAATTTTATTTTTTTAAAAAAATTAAAAACTCAAAAATAAATACAGCAAAGCCTGTAAAAGAGAGGGGATAGCTTGAGAAAATCATTCTCTTTGAGCTACTGCTGTGAGGACAATTTTTAAGATTTTAAGATTATCATTGAGATTAGCCGGTACTATTACCTGTGTGTTCCACGACTTAGGGGCTACATTTATGTATCTGAGTTCACATTTTGAACTCAGAGTCAGTGATATTGATGTTTCAGCTAAGCAGCTACTCCTCAATGGAGGGTATTCTTTACTGTAAGCCTCATTATGAGCAGCTCTTCAAGGAGGCAGGCAGTCTCAACAAAAAACTTCCAGTCACGTATGTCTTCTTTTGCACGACAGATATAGAGCTCTGTAATATAATTCTGATTCATTTACCCGTTTAATTGGCCAATCTTTGATTTTGAACGATTTTTATCTTTTAAACTTATGATTAGGCAAAATTTGGTGTTATTGTTAAACTTGAATGTGGCATCTTTTGTTTGTTCCGGACAAGGTCCCCCAGCAAAGCTGCTAGCATGTTTTCTGGGACACAAGCAAAGTGTGCCACGTGGCAAAACTGCTTATCCTTTGGAGAAGGTAGGATTACAAAAAATATCGTAAACAATATCTTTTATGCCATTCAAATTTGGACCGTATGTATCTCTGTATCAAGGTGGTTACATGGGTAGTCAGGCCTAGAGGACAAATATAAATTTTTTCCTCACTGGTTAGGGGCTGGTCCATGATCCAACATGTAAGACTTGATATTTGCAACAGTCGACAGCAGGCGTTGATAATACTTTGTTGCTGTTACTACTTTGCAATTGTCATTCATCTGTATCATCACAAAATATTTGACGTGAAGTGCATGCTTGATGATGCAATATGATCAATTCAGAACCAAATGACCAAGACTATTATCAGTCGACGTGCGTTCAACTCTTTGTGAAGAGTCTCACGAATCAGAATCCACACTTCCCCAACTTTAGTAGATGTATTATTCATAATAGTTACTGTTCCTAAATGAGTGCATCTAGTACATGTTGACAGATTGATCTACGTTATAATGCCCAAGTTTGTCATCGTTGATATAAATGCCTCTCTTCTTCCGATTGTAGGTGACAGAAGAGGGCCAATCCTATCACAAATCACGTTTCAAATATTCACTTGGTGGCTGTCCCATATCGCCATCAAATTATGCAGCCCTGGAGGGAATTTTGCGCTGCAAGCACCATTTTTCTCACCTCTTTAAGGACAAAGGGAGCTATAATCATCCCATGAAGTCCGCATCTATAAATCTTGATGACTTCAATTTCAGTTCGTTTGTTCTCTCTGGTTTTTTTGGTCTGACAGATGGTTGGTTATGCTAGTGTTAGTATGAGCCTATGAGGGCCTTTTTGGGGTCATGACTTGATTGTTTCTCACTGAATTTATCAGAGTAAAAATTGGAAGTACTTAAAATTCAATATGACTTTTTTATTTTAAAAAAAAATATAATTTTAAATTCTTACACTTTGCTTGAATTTATTATAGATCTTTATACTTTTTAATTATTTCATCAGTTGTAAATTTTTTATTTTTTCTTATTGAAAATTCCATATTAGCATTAGTTTGACACGCAAATACAAAATTAATGATATTAATTAATATGTCGGTATTATTAATATTGTTTGTGTCATATCAATATTCTTTTCAAAATGTAGGGACTAATGTTATAGCTAAAGGAAAGTGTAAGAATTTGAAATACTAAAATAAAATATAAAGATCTATAATAAAAATTCAAGTAAAATATAAGAATTAAAAGTAGTGTTTTTTTTTTTTTGCTTTGAAGCATCTTCACATTGGAGATAATTTTATTTGAAATACTATGGAACATTAAATCTGGATACCTCTTTTAACAAATATTTGAGTTTAGTTCATCAAACTTTGAGTTGCTAATTCACTCCATTAAACCCCCATTACCTTTCAAGAATAAAAAGAACACAACTTCTCAGTAAGACTAATGTGAAAAAAAAAGACAACGGTGCTATTTCAAAACTAGCGGCCAAAATTCTCTATACAAACATACAAGCAGTACTGAATCCAGTAAAAAAAAAAAAAAAACTGACTCCGTAGAATCTGAAGCTTGAAAATGCCAACAGCAACGGGCGCTTCACTTCGTCTGAAGTTTTCAGTAACACGGCCAAAATAATCCCACAGGCTAGTCATTGATTTCCATGGTGTTCCTCGACCTCTCACAAATGCAACCGGGATAGGGGTTTGCGTAGAAGCTCTCTTCAAATTTTGGGTGTCGCTTGCTCTTCCTAAGACTTGGTGCTCCCACCCTGTTTACGTGTAGGCTCCTGACCTTTAGTTTAAAATCGCCCCAGGATATCAAACCATTGTCCAATTGATCAATTAGTCTCACAAATTTCTGCCTGCAAAACGCATATACATATTAGATTTCGATTCGGGGTGTCGTACGTGAAGATGATCAGAGATTGCGGAGTACTTGTCTGGGTCAATGGTCTTTCGAAAACCTTGGTACCGTCTGTGGCCCCTGGCTGCCTTGGCCATATTCCCGTTGTAGCTGAAAACAAAAGCATCGCTCTCGACCGCGATGACATAGTCCAAAGCGGCGAGTTGATTCTGATGGAGCTTGAACGGTTTTAGTTCATCGTAGGTGGCTAGAGTGGAATGGGAGAACACATTGGGGTACTTGGCCAGCAGGTGGCTGATTCCGTTTTTGCCATAAATATCGCCCGCGGCTATGTAAATTGTTGTGTCGAGTGGAAAGTCGAGAGCCTCCAGAAACACTGCCATCTCCCTCGGAGTCATGGGGCATCGTCCCCTCAGCCGCCTTCCTCTGCCGTCGATCTCTTTCTCCTTCCAATGCTTCACTCTGTATCTCATCTTTCTAAGCTCCTGGGCCTCTGCTTTTGTCAGGTTGTGGCTACAGCCTGTGAAAGCAAGCATGTCCTTTTCATATCTGCAATTCACCGTATATGTGTGCTTGCTAGTGTCAAGAAAAGAAAACCTCAAAACTCACGGCAATCTCTAATGAACGAACCATACGTACATAATTACCTTAAATGGAGTGCAATGTATGGGTTGCTGTTGTTTTTTCTAAGTCTATTTACTAACTTCCTACTGAGCTCTTCAATTGGCTCTGAGAACCTAAGTCCTTCGTACATTGCACGACAACGCACCTTCTGGATGGAATTATCCAGACCATTGTTCACGAGGCGGGAATCAGTATGCGTGAATGAAACCACTCTGTGTTTCATCAACAATGGCAATATCTCCCCTCTGTAATAACTGGCCTACATGCATGTTTCATATTGGTTTTGTGTCTGTCAAAACTTCATGGGGGAAACCGTATGTTCACATTATATATGTGCATGTCTCGTCAGTGACTAATGCGTTACCTTGGACCAAGAAACCGGAGCCTTCACAAGCGGCTTGATTTGTGCTAACGGGGGTGGTAGAGTCTCCACTATATCAACTTCATCTGCTAAAACTTCGATGAAGTGATTCCAATCGAAAATGTCTTTGAAACCACTGAAACGATTAGCACCGTAACCAAAGGAATTAGAAAGGGAAGACTTGTTTGGCAAGAAAAACAATTGTAACGGTTGAGAATTCATACCTAGGATCGGTCCAGAAGGAATGATGATCTAATGAAGGCAAAACCAAGGTGACATTCATTATTTTTGCAATGGCAACCATGTCACTAATCTGCGAGTGGCACGGGGTAAATTAAGTTATAACTCGAACCATGCATTAGAGGAATTAATAAGAGATAATTAACTAGAAGGAGAAATTGACTACACACGCCGGTTTTCATCTGGTTTAAGCCTCCATTGGCATGAACCAAAAGGTAACCATTTGTGGCGTTTGATCTCCCTGTAGGATGGAAACTCTTGGCTCATTAAAAAGTGGCCTAGTGGGGAATTCACCGACACTCAAACTTTACACAATAAAGGCCGTTGGACTTACGTACTTTTACGATCTCTGTCCACGCATTTGTAATAGTTGTCACTGTTAGGCTGCTTCCATACTTCAGGAGTCTAACTAACATGAATTAAACCAACAATGGCATCACAATCAAGATGTAGCATTTGAAGATCGAAGATAAATTTTGCATCAACACATGCATGTGATCAACATATCCACAGGCAATTGACTCCGAGGCAAGCATCTATTTCCGCTACTTAACTTTATGATGCAAGGGTGACAATCAAAGGAGCTGCGTGGGACCCGATTAATCAGGCACTAAGCAAGCATTATGTTCAGGCCAAAGTGCATAATTATCATAAGCTTGACAGAACCGAATGATCTGTTTTGCGAATTTACCTTTTCATTTGATCTTGAAAGAAGATTATATATGTCAATTAAAATGTAAGACACACACACACATGCAATGTTGTTTTTAAGCTAACCAGCAACACAGGCGGCGAGGGTATATCTTGAACAACGTTAGAATGAATGGAGGGATCTAATCTGAGCTGGAAAAGCATATTGAGCAGCACAAACTTGACGAGGACGCACATGAAAGCCAGAGACAACAAGGCCCAAGACAAGCGACGTCCCGTGTGGAGCCTGAAGAGCTTCCGACAATGGTTTATTTTACGTCGAAAGGAGGCGGTGCTTCTCATTCCATAGCGATCCTCTGTGCCGCCCTCAAACACGACCCTCCTTGCCTGCAGTGCTGCCATCACAAGTCGCAACAATCGGCACAGAGACGAAAGGGATGAATGTGGAGGAGAATGTGATATCAATGGAAGAAAAAATTGGCAAAAGAGGAGGTGAGAGATAAGCAGCGCTTCCCGGTGAGTTTGAGGTTGGAGAGCATCCGTATTTGCTCCTTTTTTATTTTTGGGTGCTTTTTTGGGCTTCATGCTCAGCGACTTCCAAGGCGACGCGCGTTCTGCGTTTCATTTGCTCTCTATTCTACCATCTAAAATGGGTCCCTTCATTTCACTTCATCTTCTTGCAAGAACAAACCCATCTCCACGTCTTTTTAACCCGCCGCTTCTGTAATTTTAATCCCCCACGATCATCCAACAAATCATTCTACCTAATTAATTCTGCAAATCTTGACATTGATAAATTTAACGTCTCATTATCAACACCCAACAAAAATTACAAGTACTCAAAGAGTTCACATCTTTTAATTCTGTCACCATATTGTTTTGGTAACCCCAAAACAAAAATCATCTCCTTGTACATGTTTAGAGTACTGTCTAAATTTTAAGGAATCAACGGTCTTGCTACGTTTGCGGACATTTACTTTTCAGTATATTTCATTAATTAATTTTGTACAATTAACTTATAAGAACAATGCAGTAAGATAATGCGAGACAGGCATTGTTTAGCCGTCACGTTCCGCGAGACTACGATTTAGCAACTGGTTAAGAAACAATGAAACAAGATCACAATTCACAAAGAAGTGCATTTCTAAGGATCCGGATTCAAAGCGGAATGCAATAACGAGACATGTGGTGAGACTGAAAACGTTACAATTATATGGTTTGGTGTAGGTGTTGTTGATGGCAAGCTGAGAACCATCCCTACTTGTGTGTCTGTGCTTTCGAGCAAGTGGAAACATGAGAACTGAGGTAGATAGGAATGCTTATGTTTTAAACTTGTGATATTTTGGCATTTCATTCCATTGTGTATATTTTTCCTTATTTTCTTATACATATTTGCTAAAGGCAATTGGAATTTGGAAGTCGTTTTTGAAATTAAATTCTACTCTGACATGTTCAGAAAGAATGACAAGCATAAGTACATAGTTGATAATGCTGTATATTTATTTGTAAACTTAAGTTGTAAAATAATGACAATATTCAATTTTTTTATTTTAGGTTGGTTGGAAAGATTAATGGAGTTGTCTTTGATCAATCCCCATTTCACACATGACACATGGTGCCTATTTGGTTAGGTAAATAATTGATTTAGCAAAAAAATCAATTAATTAAAAAAATATTCAAACACCACCTTTTATCATTAATCGATTATTAATGTTAAAATTAATTTTTTTCAAAAGCTGTATTTGCAATTGTCATCTCGAGAAAAGCTGATCAAAGCATTGGAGAAATTATAAATAAAGACAAAAAAATTATAAAAAAAGTATAAAATTTAATAAAAATAAAATTCATTTCAAAAACAAAATTAATAATATTATATACAAATTTATTAATAATTTAATCTTAAAAAATAATATCTTTTATGATAATTTAAACAATTAAAATTGATTCTAAATAAACTATTCAAATATTTTCAGTTCTATTAAAATTAATTTTAAAAAAATAATATTTAAATAAATTACGTTATAATATAATTAACTATGATTAAAATTTATCATTTAATTAATTATTTTTACAATATCTATTATGTCCAATTAAAATCGGGCATAGGATGGTTGATTGATTAGCGTCTTCAACTGTGCAGCTTGTATTTTCTTGTCTGTTACCAGTTTGGTAATATATGAAAGTTTAGGAGGATTTGCTACCTGGGATCTCACGGTCCATAAAGATCCAAGGTTGATATTAAAAAAACGATGAAGTCAGAGAGAGAAGGCAACTCACAATTGGGTCACTCTAGTATTTGCTGAGTTCCGTACACATGATGGGGAAAAAAAAATATGAATTGAGAAATAATAAATGTTCGTCCAGTCTGCCCCATAAATCATAGGGTTACTACTTACTTGGATGAAATATTACCGTTGTTGTGAAGATTTTATTACTAGATAATCTGTAAGCACTTTTAAAACTTAAAAATATGTCCCGGCTTTGGTGAGTTTTTAAAACTAAGTTATACAAACTTTTTTGTGAAAAAAAAAAGTATGGAGATAAAGTATTTGAGGAAGAAAACTTAAGAAATCCGTGAAAAATCAATCAGATCCTAATTTCAAAAATGAATATAAATTGTCGGTGTTCACTAAGTAACGGAATGTTTCTCCAGTAATGTTTTGCGTCTATAGAAAGTTCAGCAAATATATAAATACACTCAGTATTGATTGAGAAGTGATTAAGAGTAAAGGTTATGAGAAAAGCAGCCGCTGACATGAGTCTTGACCGGGCATGAACACATGGCGGAGTTATGGAAAAGAGAAAGGTATAAGCACGTGGCTGTTGCAGCTACATACGTACACAAGATATCCTTCGACTGCGAAAATGCAAAGGATGGTAGATTACAAGTAAAGTGGAACTATGCTCATTGCAGGATTAGAACTCCATCGTAAGCAAAGTGGCGTGTGCAGGATCAGGCGCACATGATGCCACATTTTCGCCCCTGAAGCACTCCGAGCCTCTTTACACCGGTCATGGTTTATTCCTTCCCCCAACATTGTCTGTGTCTATATATTAACCATCAATTTAATTTAATACTTGTCATGTTTTGGTTAATATTTTATCAAATAAATCAAGCAACATAGCTTCCGTTCAAAAGGGCTTTTCAGTACAAAATTTGTAAATTTTTTTTTAATAAATTTTTAACCAAACACTCCCGTAATCATCATTCACTTACGAGTCGTTGAGGCTTTTGCTTTCATCTCGGGTCGTCCATCCGTCACCGAGTCAAAACTCAAAATATGGAGTCTCAAACGAAAGAATTGAAAAGGAACGACCTTCCTCTGGCTGCAATTCGAAATCCGTGCTTTCAATGCTGTTCCTACTGATCTGTCTTCCCTGCACAGTTTGCAGAGGCACATTCCTTGCTGGTTATCCTCCACACCCGACCCTTCGACGCTGACCCGCCATCTCCCTGCCCGGTGCTCCTTTCATCTTCAGCTTCCCAGATCCCTCCCCTCCCACTTTCTATCCGATCCATGCTCTTCTCTTCCTCCCCTTCCCCTTTAGTCCCTTCTCCTCTCTTTCCAAATTAAACGACTCTGATCGAAACCCGCCTCTCCGGATGAAGGGTTCCGGTAAATTATTCACCGTCGGCCTCGTCTCCGCCTGGTACTCCTCCAACATTGGGGTCCTCTTGCTCAACAAATACCTGCTCAGCAACTATGGCTTCAAGTACCCCATCTTCCTCACCATGTGCCACATGACTGCTTGCTCCTTGTTCAGTTACGTTGCTATAGCGTGGATGAAGATGGTGCCTGTGCAGACCATTCGATCCCGATTCCAGTTCCTTAAGATCTCAGCTCTCAGCCTCGTCTTCTGCGTGTCCGTTGTATTTGGTAATGTATCGCTTCGTTACTTGCCTGTATCCTTCAATCAGGCGGTCGGGGCGACGACGCCATTCTTCACTGCGGTTTTTGCTTACCTCATGACCTTCAAGAGGGAGGCTTGGCTCACTTATGTAACCCTTATTCCTGTTGTTACTGGGGTCATCATTGCTAGCGGGGTACCCGTGCTATTGTTTTCTTCCTTTCAATTTAGAATTCTGATTTTGCATCGTTCTTTTTTATTTGTACAATTTGGATGATTTAGTGATTTTTTTTACATTCCCTGTTTTATTTGTTGACTCCCGTGTCAAACATCTCGGCCGGAAAGGAAAAAAAAAAAATCCTTTATCAAACCAGGAAAATACATCTTCATTCTTGTCCAGGTGCAGACCTAAGCTGGCATATGATATCAGATGACCGCATGAAATGTAACACTTGATCCAATAACAAATTGCAGCTTTTCATTGCTTATGTTATATAATACTATTGCTGTTTGGTAAACTTATTTGGTTTTCTCAATCTGATAACGAATTTTCAAGTGAATTGAAATGTTCAGTTATTGCTGAACTGAAATTCAACTTTTGCAGGGAGTTGATGCTTCCCATTTCTTATTTTCTAATTATAGTGTTAGATCTCCTTTTTGTTATGCGTCATCAAGTAATATTGGTGGTTAACAGTGTTCTGGCTTCTGATTCTATGTTCTTTTCTTTGTGTGGTCATAGGGCGAACCAAGTTTCCATTTATTTGGGTTCATAATATGTGTTGCAGCTACAGCTGCACGGGCCCTAAAATCAGTGTTACAAGGAATTTTGCTTTCTTCTGAAGGGTAAGAAACTCTACATTAGGATTAATTTCTTTGCACTTTTGTTCTATTTTAAACCAAGTTACATATTAAAATGGGACAATGATCACTGGCTTTCCTATTCTACTTCAGAGAGAAACTGAATTCTATGAACCTTCTTCTTTACATGGCTCCAATGGCCGTTGTTTTCCTTCTTCCCGCGACACTTGTGATGGAAGAAAATGTTGTTGGCATCACGGTGGCTCTTGCTAGAGATGATGTCAAGATCGTTTGGTATTTGCTATTTAATTCGGCACTTGCCTATTTTGTCAACCTGACCAATTTTTTGGTCACTAAACATACGAGCGCTCTTACTCTTCAGGTATACCCTACTTATTCATGCGGGCTTTTGCCCCTTGTCATAGTTTTGCAAGTAACTTATATAGGGAAGAGGTTGGATATTTAATGATCGAAACCTATTGCAAAATTAGTTTGGAGGATGTTGCTTTTATGCTGGATGGTGCTCTAAAACTAAAGCAGTTGTATTATTGGTAGGTCATTGAGATGCACAACTAGCTGTTTTCTAGAAATTCTGTCTACGATGTTCAGTTTTTCAATTCATGATGAAACCGTGAATAGTTCTTTTCCTCTGAGAAGACAATATTGAATTTATTGACCTTGACGTCCAAGATCCGTTTGGTAATTTGGATTGATATGGCATTTGGGTGGGAAGATGTACATTTTTCTTGGAGCCCTGCATTTGGAAGTCCTGATACACTAACACGAGGGTTGGCTTATACAGGTTCTTGGGAACGCTAAAGGTGCTGTGGCGGTAGTGGTTTCAATTATGATATTTAGAAATCCAGTCTCAATTACTGGAATGCTGGGTTACTCCCTTACAGTCCTTGGAGTTATACTTTACAGTGAGGCCAAAAAGCGAAACAAGTGATGTACGGAGAGACTGCTACATCTTACATTCGTTACAGCACCGATTTCATTAGGCAGATTTGTCCATCACCATCATACTAGTGATCAGACATCGGAGGTTTCTGACATTTTCCCCATTACAGGGAAAGCTTCATTAAACGGTTTCCCATTGTATTAGCATTTGATCAGAGATAGCCCGCATACGAAAGTTCCAATAAGCGATTCATGTCTGTCTATATTCTACATACCCATGCTGGGATCATAGAGGAATGCCACTTTTTCTTATATTCTTTGATGACAGAGCTATAGAATTGGGTCACTCGTCTGTTAACATGTATTTCATTGGATTTAGCTAATGACATAATATATTTTTTCCCTCGCAACAGAATTTCTTAAGCATTTAGTTTAGTTAGTTATAATTTCTGAGCTCCCCAATCGGAGGAAAAATGTGTAGAGTGCATACAAAGTTGTTCGGCTGAACGATCAAAGTAAATGGATATTTGTAAATATCATATTTTAGAAATGGAAGCTATCTAAAAATTCTCCACATTTGTCATTTAATTTAATCATTTTAAAAGCGGGGGCATCGGTGAAATTTCCATGCGTTTTACCGTCATGAATGAACTCTTTTCTTTGGCAGTAACAATTACCGCCTGACTTTTGGAGCTAAATTCATAAAGACAGAAAATGAATCAAGTCTTTTAGAATGAAAAATAGTTTATCTAGATGCTATAATTTGGAGAACTCGTTGCAGTGGCATCGAGCTCTCGTGCCACTGAATTTCATGGAAGACTCAGAACTTGGTCAGAATTACGAGTTCAAAATAAGAGGAAAGAAGATAGCCAGATGGAATACAGGAATGGACGGAAACTCTTTTTATTATTATTATTTTTTTGGGGAGGCGGGGGTAGACGGGAACAGAAGCTTTGCTTGCATTCATTACCACGCTCAAGTAAAAGAGTAATCACGATTTCAACTGAGTGGCAGGCTGAAAGAACCAGGATTGCATGTCAGTCAGCTTCATGGAATTCGAAGAGAGACTAGGCTCTGCTCATTAGAATGCTCTGACATGGTATCAAGTTTTGAATGGTCTCTTCCAATAAGAGATTGACCGAGTGCACTCAGGTCTGGATCAAGTCTATGCCTGTCCCAAGCTGCTTTAAACTCCAGGCCTTTGCTTCTACGTAGACCAGAAAAATTCTCTCTCAAGCAGGGAAGGAAAGTAACCATAATTGAAACTTATCCAAAAATAACGGCCTTACTGTTGAAGTAGGATCAGTATCTGTCGAGTATGTGCTCTAATTTCTTCTCGAGCTTTTCTTAATGCGGCCTCCTTATACACGAGAACAAGTTCCTCCACTAATCTGAAATCAAATTTATGTACTCCTAAGGAGTTAGAGCCTCATGGCAGTTCCGGGGAAAAATCATAAAGAAATATCAATTAAAGAAAGATCAATATTCGTAGCAAGGAAACATTTTATCAATGATAAATCATATGATTATTCTTCGTAGCATCAGAATTCCTTGCAAAGCAGGCGGGGAAGGCTTTTCAAGCAATCTTGGATGTCATTGGAAGTTTACATCAACCAACGGTCTGAAATCTGAATAAATAAATAAAGAAGAAAATAAATTATAAAGCATCGCCTTTTTTTTTTTTTTTGGTAAGGTGTATACCCATGATGATCATTGGAACAAACAAAAAGAAATATCAGTTACTTTCAACTACTACTTTTTTTTTCCTTCCTATTTTTGATCATTTCCCCCTAATTATTACTTGAATATCATGACATGGAACAATCTGCATCACGAGATGGGACAAAATCGATGCAATGTTAACTCATGGCAAGAACAATATGTTCTTTAAAGGGAATTCACTACAAAAACATGTTCCATGGAAACATGAAACATGTTCGAGTGCTGCTTTCATGCATTTTAAAGCCACATTTATCTGAAATACATAATTCATATGCTGAATTTATTTAATTCACCTTTGAATATACGGTGAATTCCTAATCCACGTTTGCCTTAGAATTGTAAAAGTACGTTTTAGAACCTGTGCATAACAGTATAATGAAAAAGGATTTATCAGAAATGACTTAGAAGTTAGAACTTATTTGCCATAAGAAATGTAAAGAATAAAACTACATGTTAAACTCATGAAAAGGACGGAAAAGCAATGCTGAAACTGATCCCAGTTATAACAATTTGCAACCAATGATTATAGTTCAAAATTTGCAGACAGCCAAACAAATGTTGAATATTAATCAAAATCAAAACATTAAATTTGAATCATGTGGTCCAAAAATTGACAGTATAATTTGGTTAAGTTCTAAAACTTCTGCACTGGTAAGTAAAATGAGAATGACATCCAAAATAAGTGCATATAATAATACCCACCAACACAAGGGTCTCATCATCATCGGCATGCATCCACTGAAAGAACAACGGGAAAATACGCCTAAAGTGAGCTAATAACAAAAGAGCAACTCCATCAAATAAGGAATCAACATAATCAAGCCAAGCAATGCGACGTTCTTTGTTTCTGGGCTGGCGCTCCAAGTGACTTAACATCTCATTTAGTATTCTTTCATACCTTCAGCAAAAGAGCAACTGATTGTTGTTAAGATGGAAGTTGGAAGACATAATACTTTTACGAAAAAAAATAGATAACCTTCAAAGCCACATCATTGATCAATTAACATGCATATATTTAATATGCTCATAGAATTAACACACACCAGTAGCCAACCTACTTCACCAAATCAGAAATATTTATTTAGAATAACACATGAGTATGGCTGAATCAAAAATTTTGTCCTCTGATAGTAACAATCAGAGAAAAAAGTTGATAATAACTGTTCTAAAACTTTGTTAAAAAAAAAAACAATAAACAACCTCTTTAGTGGCAAATGAAATTCTTTGCTTGGAGCAAAAAATGTTTCAAATCCAACATGTCCATGGGTAGAATATATCTTTTGACACAATAAACTGGATAAGGTAGTCAATTATCTAAAAATATTAAGCCAACAGAATTGAATTTCTAATCATCAAACAAACATTTATCATCTCTCGACCTATAACAAGCCAAAAGTTAGTTATCTAGAAAAGAAAGTACGGCTGATCATTCTACTCACTGAGCCAAAAAACCAGGACTATGTCCAGAGTCCTATTAAATAACATCTCTTCCAAAAATATGTTTCAAATTTCAGCCTAAAAACTGGTCAGTGTTTGGGGTTCCAGTAGGTATTTAACATATGAATATATGGAAAGAAATGTTCAGAGTCCATGACATAAAAAAGTTAAAGAATGTACAGCACCAGTATACCATGGGCTACGTGGATTATTTCTCTGAACAGAAGTTACAAGAATTACTGAAGTCTCAACAACATGGCACCAGATCTCATCGCTAGCTGCAACATTCTGGCAGCAAGCATCAAGAATTACATCCGCATACCCACCAAGCTCAGTAGTATCCACATTTTTTGCAAGATGAGTGAAGCTAATCATACCCTGTCCCTGAAATAATATAACAGAATGGTATGGTTAAAATTAAGCCATCCTGTTGTAATGGCTTTGACATATACACTTGAGGCTATTTACTTGTGTTAAATACTTGATGATCATGGGTTATGGATAGTAATAGAATGAACATTTATGTTATGAATGGTTTTGGTTATAATTGATGATGAATTAATTGTTGTGACATGTTACTTCTTCCCTTTAAATGGTGTTTTGGGCAGATATTTTTCTAAGGTCTTTGGGTTTGGTAGGTGCCAAATTGTTGGGTACAGTTTTTGGAGGAAGTTTATGTTGTTCATTAGGTTTGAAAACATGAAGATCAGCTAAAATTTTGCCGACAAAGTCTGGTCAGACAAGTTGTTTTTGAATTTTACACTTGTTTAGTTGGTATGTGGATATGAAATCTTTATGATATATACAGAGCTTTAAAAAGATAGTAATAAAGATTGAGTCAATTTACAATTGTATAACCCAAGTTATGAATTTCCAGTGTAGGTAAGATATCTATGAATTTTTGCAGCCAATAGCTAACTATGCAGAATTTTCTGTACTGATGTGAAGTATTTCTGATGCTGAAATTTTGATAGGTTTTTCATGTGCATGTTTATTATATTATCCAGTAAAAATTTTGTGAATTTTATAGCTTATTTGGTTAGATATATACTAACTCAGATCAGGAATGTTGAAAACTGAAATTTTACATTCATTTGAGTCTTTTAGCGATTCAACATGGTCATATTTTATGTTTGAGGTTGTTTCAAAGTTTTGAGAGCCCAGACAACCCTAGTGTGCAGATAAGAACTTGTTTGAAGAGGTTGGAGATATGTTTATTGAGAATTATGACTCCCCACAGGCAGCTTTTGTATAAATTTTCTGGTTTTGGGTGTTCTGACTCAAAAGTTTTAAGTTTACCCCCATTTTTGGATTCAAGTCTTAAGTAGGACCTAGTCATCCTTTCACTGGCCTTATTGTAATGTATTAATGCATAAGGCATTATACACGTTTGTTTTATTTTATCTTTTTTTTTTAATCAAAAAGGTACGAAATTTCAATAGAAATTAAACAGTGGCTATGTCAGGACGCAAGCTTCTTTCTCCTCCCTCCATCTTTGTGATCCAAGGTGGAGGGTGGTTCAAGATGCAGCTGTGTTCAGTCATAGTCTAAGCAAAATTAGGTAACCTATCAGCATCGTACACAATCTCCAAACATAAATTCAGATTAACATTTCAGTTTCTACAAAAAAGCATCCGAACTTGCTGAAGTATGTCTCCAAAAGGATGGTCGGCAGAAAAATCTCCCCTTACCAGCGTTATACGCGTTTATTTTCAAACATACAAATATTCATCCTTTAAAGTTTGATAATACTGGTCTTAAGTATGTTTTATTGGCTTTTGGAGTGAGCCAGAGCAGATACAGAAACGGCAATAAAGCTGCCTTTCTTAGTTTTAAGGGTGTTTTACCTTCCATCATTAGTTCCTTGTTAAATTAGCCATGATTAGAGAGAACCTTGCCCGAATGCACCTTGTATCGGATAACAAGCAGAATTTTATGCGAGTTTACGTGTAAAATCATTTGGTGGGAATCTCGTACCTTCACCTCCGGCGACCAATGGTCAACAGCAGTCAGCGCAGAAGGTATCACTAATCCACACAACTTTCCTAAATGAGGATAATGAACCTATGAAAAGAGCAATCAACACACTAATATCTCGATATCAGGAGGGAGAAAAAACTGAGCCAAGATTAAATATTCCTAAAAACAAAAATCAGATATAAGACCGATACCTGAGTAATAAACCATCTTAACTGATAGGCAGCCATAATTGCATATCCAACAGGGGCTCTCGCGGATGCAGCAGCGAACTCTTCAGTTTCGTCAGACTTATCGATAGAACTTTCTTTGATTCTGTCTTTAAGAGAAAGCAAAACCTCAGGCATCAATTCCATAATCAATCTCTGCTCCTGAGGTACGTAATCGCACTTTAAGCCCAATTCAGCAACCCTCTTCGAATTTTTGTCGTTAAAAGCAGTAAGGTATGCCTTGGAGAAATCGTAGAAAGCAGAGCTAGCAAGGCGAGAAAGATGATTGGGGATCCATGAGAGAAGGTCCGAATAGTCCTGGGTTAAGGGCTTGAAGCTGGAGGAGGATAGCAAAGCACATGCTAGAGAAAAATCCCTGATAGTTGCGCGAAAGGCAGAATCTTCAGGTGGGATTTTTCTTGGGAGAAGAGATTCGAGTATAGCTTTGGCAGAAACATTGGAGCCTTCAGCTGGAGTGGAGGGTGCGTTGGCAAGACACCCAGAAATTGGCTCGGATAACCTGAAAATAAGAATCAAAGAGAAATTACGTTGTGACGAACGAAATTTGACAGTGTAGAGAGACAAAAAGGATGAAGGGAAAGCTAACTGAAGGAGAAAGTTGCCGAGGTTTGAAACCGATTCCATTTCCGACGACAAAAGGGACAGGCCGGAGTGCTAGTAGCAGAAGCGCGGGGCTCTCGCAGCTCCTAAGACGACATCGTTAGATGGTAACCGACCATGAACAGAACCGCTTGTGCTCCTCGGCCCATAAAAATTTATTAAATTCAATTGAATTGACTGATTAAATTTTGTTACAAATTAAATTTAAAATTTAGATAAAAATGTAATATTTTTAATATGGATAATTAATATAATTTACGAATCAACGGGTTATGGCTCTAAACTCTAAAGAAAGGTTAATCCTGACAAATTTGCTGTCATATCAATTTTCTTTTAACTTGGTTTGTTGTATTAAAAAAAATAAATCATAATCATTTCATTCTCATCTCTCACATCAATTTTAATTTTATTTTTTATTAATTTATTTCCATTCGAAATCATCTCAAAATGTCATATTAAGGGTGACATGTGTCACTTGATGTTTCTTTATTCTCAGTTTTGTAATCTGTACACAGTTTACCTTTAGTTAATGAGTTGGCCCTGTCATCAAAAGGAAAGGGGGGAAGAAAATCTTAGCTACTATTCACATGAGAGTAATTAACAAATGCGTTTGAACCTTTTTCTTTTTTTATCATTTATACCAGTTTGATATTCCAATTTTAAGCCAATTTGATCTAAGCAAATATTATTAGGGTAAGACTTATATATTTAATTTTTTATACTGAATATACTGTTATCAAATTAAATCATAACAAGTAAATTTTAATATGTTAATAAAATTAATAATAAAACAAATATTTTATAAGGCTAAGTATTTATTATTATACATTCTATTTCTATCATCTTGGCCTGAGGAGAAAATTTGGGTATATTTGATTACCTGTTTTAAAAACATGTTTCCTATTACACCTAAAGCATAAGAGTAAGAATAAAACCAAGCGACTTTAATTTGCTGAAACACGATATCTTTAAACGTGCATTTCATCTTTCTTATTGTACTGCTCTCATCGTCTTTATCATGAATCCAACCTCTGTCCAAAGGAAGGATGACAAGACAGCCTGTATATACTTGTATCGATGTTCGTATATGTATAGTTTTTCCTATATATCATCCACATGGAATATATTATAATATAAATATTCTTAAAAAAATTATAGTTTTTTTAAACATTCATATCCATTGAAACATATAAAAAAGTTGAAGCCCTGAGTTAAAATAAAAGCAAAAAGGCTTTTAATATAAAAAAGTTTATCATTTAAATGATATTCATCACAAATGCTGCGCGCACGATTACCGTATGCATACATATAGAGTATATGTGGAAGTTAAAAATTAACATAAAAATATTAAAAATGGATAAATTGAAGCAAACAAGAAAACGCCTTCGCCTTTCAAGTTCAGGCGGACTTGACAAATGGAAAGTTTGAAGGATGAAAACGCAAGTAATATATTTTGGAGGGAACAGGAGAGGGGATTCAAAAAGAGAAATGGAGGGCGCACGTGCACCCAACCTCACCGAATCCAGGGCACCTCCATGCAAATCAAATCACCTACTTAACGGCTTAACCGCACCTCCTCCTCCTCCTCCTTCCCTCCCTCTTCTCTGTTCCATTGCTCTGCTCAAGAACCACCATGCTTGTCCGCTTCTCTTCCTTCATCTCTCTCTTCCTCCTCTCTCTTCTCCCCCTAGTTCCCTCCCTTCCCTGCTTCGGCGTCACCTACTCCTCGCCCTCCAACTCCTCCCACCCTCGCTCCCATCCGCCCTTCCTCCTTCCCGCCGCCATTCATTCCCTCAACTTGGCTTCTCTCCGCTTGGAAGATTCCGACCCTTCCATCATTCGCTCCTTCCTGTACACCAATGTCTCCCTCTTTCTCACCATTCCCAACTACCTGGTCCCCCCAATAGCCGCCAATCGCTCCGCCGCCCTCAGCTGGCTCTACGTCCACGTCGTCCCTTTCTACCCTCGAGCCAAGATTTCCACCATCTCCGTCGGTAATGATTTCGTAGACGCTTCCCCTGACTCCGTCGACCAGCTGTTGCCCGCCATCAGGAACTTGCACCTGTCGCTTCGGGATCTTGGGATCCGCAAGATTTCCGTGTCCACCTCTTTCTCTTTCGTCAGCGCCATATCCACGCCGTTCCCTCCTTCAGCGGCTCAATTTCGAGAACCTCCCGGGGATAATGTCATCGGGCCGTTGCTGCGGTTCTTGAGGGACACCAATTCGTCGTTCTTGATCAATGTGTACCCGTACAACTTGTACAGGCTGAGGTCTGAGATTCCGATTGGGATTGCCCTGTTTCAAGAACACGCTTTCAATTTCAGGGACGACGTGACCACCGGCGTTCGGTACTATAATCTTTTTGACATGATGATTGACGCCGTGGTTAGTGCGATGGCGGTGGCGGGATACGAGAATATACCCATTATCGTGACGGAGACGGGGTGGCCCAGCGCTAGCTCCACGGGGAATGAGGCGGACGCGAACAAGGTGTACGCCGAGATATATCTAAAGGGTCTGGTGAAGCACCTCAAGTCCGGCAAGGGCACGCCTCTGAGAAAAGAAGGGTTGTCAGAGGTTTACATATACGAGCTGTTTGACAAGGAACCGGAGCGAGGAAAACATCCTTTGGGTCGTAGTTGGGGGATTTTGTATCCAAACTTGACTATGAAGTACCATCATATCGACTTCTCTGGATCATCCACTATTCTTGGTGCTAAGGCTTGGATTAAGATGGCAGTGGCAATGTCGTCGCCGTTCCTTCTTGTGGTGTGTCTGTAGACATGCTGTGGATAGCGAGACTCTTGAGCAAATTGTTGCTTACCCTCAGTTGGGTTTATGATGCTTGCAGACACTGAAACAGTGTCCGTGTCCGTGTCCGTGTGGTTAGGGTTTCATTGATCTGTGATATCCTGATCAGCTAGGTCTCAAGCTATTCTTTACAAATTGTTTCTGTTCATATTGTGTAGAGAAGGACTCTTCATGGATTTTCTTCTGATCTTGAGTGCAGGTTGGTGTCGTATTATCTTCTTGGTCAACAGATTGCAGTAACTTCTTGTTCAGTACAATATTTGAGACTAGATGAATTTCGAATGAGATTTTCTTTATTTTTTTAAATTGGCGGCTTTTATTTGTATTATTACAAAGCATATGTGCTTTGTGTTAGTATTTTTTTGGTAAAGCCTATAATTTGGGTGGATCATATTTATTTTGGTCAAATTTAATTTAGATTAAATTTAAAATATTCTACCATATAAAAAAGTTCATACAATCAAGCCTATCCTAATTTCTTGAATTTATTCAAGTTGGTTTTAATATCTGAATTATTAAATATTATTTTATTTGTTTATTTTTATCTAATTTTAATTTTTATGTTAAAAATAATATTTTTAATTTTGATATTATATTATTAATAACAAAAAAAGAATTCAAGTATTTGAGCTAAGACCATTCAAGTTTGAGCTAGGTCGGGATTTATTCAAATTTATTTAGGCAGCTTGAATAAGCCCAGCGCAAAGAAAATCTTTTAAGTTACCAAACTTAGTCCCAAGATTTGTTTGATTTATTCATTCGGGTTAGCCCATCAAGCTTCATTCATTAAAAAATGACAATTGAGGACTCGCATCAATTACAATCGAGGATTTTGAAATATTGAAATTCCAATAATAAACTATAATTTTTATTTAAAATTAAAAATATATATGAGTTTACAAAATCACCTCATTTGAAAATTTAGAAAAAGATATTATTGAAATTACTATGACAATTGAAATTATGGTTAATCTTGCTTAAAAAACTAGGATTCACCCTTGAGAATGGGTTGTTTTCCAACATAAAACTAAAATTCACTTGTAAAACTTTCGAAAGGCATTTATGAATATACAATAATCATTTGAAAATTCATCAAAATCACTTATGAATATGAAGTCAATCACTTGTGAATTTTTATACTTATCAATATATAGGTAAATCGCATGGAATATTAAGAAAATACACTATTAAGATTATTACTATGGATTGGGATTATTGTTAATCCTAATTAAAAAACCAAAATTCCAAGTGTTAAGGAGTGAGATTATCTGAAGTGTTAAGTAGCATCCCAAGTCATAGTCTTAAATTTGCATTATCCGAAGAGAGAGAAAGAGAGTGAAAGAATTGAAAAAAAAATAAAAAACAAGAAAAATCACATCTTAACCATACAATTTAAAATAAATTACAAAAGAAAGAACGAGGTTTAAATTTTTGTAAGGTACCTCCAGAAATAGGCACATTTAAAAAGTAAATAATGAGTGGAATTTTTTATTCTTTATACATGGTCAAGAGTTATGAATGTGTTGGTTAATATATTATAGTTAACAAGCATGAGGTCATTCACCATTCTGAGACAATTTATAAAAATACTCAGTTTAAAATATAAATTATTTTTCTCAATTAATATTGGCTAAAATATAAGTAACTTAAAATTTATAAATATATTTTTATTTTTTATCTATTATATCTATTAACCTAGATTATTGTGTTTACTGAGAGTTTATAACATTAATCTCACTCATCATGAATTGGGACTAAGCAAAAAAATAAAAAATAATATATTATAATATATTTTTATGAGAATAAAAAATACTCTATTGATATATAAATTGTTATTAAAAGATGCTTATATTTTGGATTGAAAGAGGATTAATTAATTGTTCACTAATAAGACATATATTTACATTGAATACGAATTTCAAACCTACGTCCTTAGTTGGCCAACTCTTAATAATGGGAGAAGAAGAGAACAAGTAAAGCAAAATAAAATCAAAATCAAAATTATTTATTTAATAATGACATGATAAGAAATTGAAATGACAAAAATGAGAATGTATAAGATGCGGGATTATTTTGAAGTTCAGACATTCTTTCCTCTGACTGTCATGCTTATTTATGACTCTCTCTGTTTTTTTTTTTTGGATTTTGTCTCGAGAGACGTGAAAGTGGGAGAGAAATGAGGCTTCAAGTTGGGGTTCATGGATTTGTGGCCGAAGTTCATACAATATTGAGTGATTTGGGCTTCAAAGTTATAGTTGGGATTCACTTGAAAAAACCAAAATTTCAAGTGTTATGGAGTGAGATTATTGTTGATCTCATTCTGAAGTTTGAATCTTGATTTTTTCAATTAAAATTAGTAATAATTTTAATTCATGATAGTAATTTTAATATTTAAAGATAATTTTATAAATTCATTTATATTTTTAATTTCAAATAAGAACCATAGTTTATTATTAAAATTTTAATAATTTAAAATTTTTAATTATAATAAATAATTTTATTAGTCTTTAATTGTCATTTTTCCTTCGTTCACTTTGGACGAGGCTTCAAATTCACGACAGTAAGTCTGTCCTTTTTTTAATCAAAATATCGTTCTTCATACTGTATCAATGATATATTTAAATTTTTTGTACAAAGTCACATGATTGATATGGACGTGTGAACAGCCCATTTTGTTAGGCCCCTGCAAAAAATAAATTAATGAAAAAAAATAAATGAAAATGTTTTTAATAAAATAATAAAAAGAATAAAATAAATATTAATAAAAAATAAATGAAAACCCCAAAAATTTGTGAGTTAATATGAGTCTTCAATTAGATAAATGAAATGGAGACCTAATTCTTAAAATTGTGCCTTGATTTAAAATGATAAAAGTTAAATAAAATTAATTATAAATTATGATTTGACAGGATTCAATCATTAAATATAAAATTTCTAATTTTCATTTATAAAAGAGAGGGAGACATGGAAAGGGGCAAGATGAAGATGGGAAGGGGAGAAAAATTTGTTGGGGACATCCACTGCGTTTTCCATCAGGTGTCTTGGTATATTTTCATGCCAATGAACATCCTAATGAGATGGAGGCAAATGCATCTAAAGTTCTAGACACATCAATTTCTTTGTCAAATGTTCGCCTTGTTACAGTTCTTCAGGATTGCATGGTACATATCCTCCTTGTCATTAATATGTTTTTGTTTGATATAATACATTTATTACATCCTTTTATATGTCAATTAAAATCATTTAAAAAATTTTATTATCCTAAAGTGCACATACATTGCATTATAATTGTAAATTTACCTTAGTGTTTAGGTTTTGTGTACTAAGAATATTTTGATCTAAAAATAAATTTTTAAAAAATGTGAAATAAAAATTAAAAAAATGTATTTTAAATGCAAAAGAAGGGTGGTCAAATTAGATTTTATAAATTTATTTTAATTTGAATGTAATTAAATAAAAAGTTAATACTTTTTTAAGTGTGCTAATTTGACCTAGTTTTTTATTTGCATTTATGTAGAAATTTTTATATAATTTTGTACACCCAAAAACTTAGTTATTTTAATAAATTCTTCTTCTAAATATGAATTTAATTTTGCTCTTTAATTAGATTTTATGATGTCACATGTTATTTAATTGAATTATGTGATTTTTGTGACATAGGTTACATATGACTTATGCATCAATTGGACAAATGAAGTCAAAAGCTCATGGGGTCAAAGCTAATGCATTAGGGACGTTTTCTTCTTAATTCGGTGGTCTAAATCAGCTTAAAATGGAGATGATGTAACATCTCAATTTAAATTTTAATAATTAATTTGGGTTAATAGAAATAAAAAAATAATATTTAGAGGTAAGAAAATTAGTAAGAGATGATTATTAAATCTAACTTAGGATATAATTCTAAAAAAATTAAATTAAAAAAATAATTAAAAAAATAAAAAAATATTATTAAATTATTATTATATATAAAAAAAGGAAAAACGTATTAAAAAAAAAAGGCAAGAAGGAGTGAACTTTCGGTGGGCAATGATTATGTTTAATAATAAAAAAAAAAAAAAGAAGAGAGAGGAAAGAGTAAATAAAAAAAAAATGTGTGGGACCCACTGAATTTTTATAAAACTCACCCGTTTCCTTTCATTTCTTCATTCCTTCTTTCATGCGTGAGCTGAGGCAGAGAGAGCATCTGTGAGCCAAGTTCACCGGTGCTGGGTTTTAAGGTAAGAGTTTTTAATAGGATATTTAGGGTGTGATTTTAAGCTTTTCAAGACTAAGTAAGTATTCTAAAATTTTTTCTTAGTCATCCTTTTTCTTTGGTTTTTGAGTTTGTAGTGGTAGAAAATTTAAGATCTGAAAGAGGGATGAATTTATATTGAATAAATATGATTTTTGATGTTGTCAGTAGTATAATAAATGTTCTAGAGTATAAATTTATTGATGATCTTTGAATCTGTGGCTTATGGATCAAATTCTAAACTAGATCTGAAAATATATGTTGATTTATTGAGGTTTAGATGATTATTTGGGATGAGAAATGAATTATTATGGTTATAGGATTATGATTCTAAGCTAGAGACTTAATTTTTAGTTTTTGGGTATTTTAGGTACGAATTTATAAAATAAAAAGAAAATTTTGATAATAGAAATTAATTTAGAAGTTGATTTTTATATTATTAATGTTTATTAATAATTAAAAGAGGAGTTAAAAATTTTACTTAATAGTATTAACTATAGATTTGTATTAAGATTGAAATTAAGAATTTATTATATTTTTAATTCTATTATTAGAATTATTTTATTAGTTTCAAAAATTGAAACTAATATTTTTAAATAATATGTTATTTTGTAGATTGTATTACTGGTGAAGATTGTGGTGAGAGAGAAAATTTTAAGGAATAATTTATTGAAAAAGCCACAAGGTAACCATGCTTTTAATTTGTGATTAGTGTTACTTCATGTTATTGGGTGATTATTGAGAAAATTATGAATTTTGTAATATTGTATAATTGTGCCAATATTATTATGAATTTGTTAATTATTGTGGGAGTGTTGGGGAGACTTTGCTATTATTGTTGTATTTATGTGCCACGTGGTACGCCCCTATTGGAGCTCAATAGGTGGCTTGTAAGGGCTTGGGCTAATTTACCTTTGGCCGGGTATAATTTAGCACCGAGTGAGGGCTACGGCTCGAGGTTAATGGAGGGATATAAGGATGGTTGTTTGTGTGTATTGTAATATTTCTTATATTTGTTGGAATTATATTATTTTTAATTCTTACTTAGTACGCACACACTTAACTGTTTGTATACACTATCATAAATTGGCTTTGGTTACTGGGATTTGAGTCTCATTATGTGGTTAACAATTTTCAGGAGAAGAGCCACGAGTGACAGTGGAGGAGTCCCAGAGGCTTAGTGGTATAGAATCCACTGTCTCTTTTGGGTATTTAATTATGATTTATAATGTGTTATATTGTCAATATTATGGCTTTTTGTTTATTGTCAATTATATGAATATCTAAATGTATCATGCCTTTCAAACTATTTCTATTTTTGGTACAATTTGGATGACTGTAATTTTAATATTTGGTTTACTTTGGATTGGTTAAAATGGCATGATTATAAGGCCAAATAACTGGCTTGTGTTGAAAATTGACTACTAAATTGCTTATTTTACTTGTTGGGAGTATAAGGATGGACAAATGTGATTTAGTTTACTTGTTGGGAGTATAAGGATGGACAAATGTGATTTAGCCTAATGGCATGTGGGAGGTAAAAATTTATCTGAAATGTATAGTGTGTGAGTTGAAGCAATTATAAAATATTTTATATCAAAATTACTGATATAAAATGTGTTGGGTGGCTGTAACCCAACTATGGTTGAGTTAAATTATTTAAAAAAAAAAATTTTGGTGTGTTACAGATGATAAATCATATAATTTGACGCATATTAGAATTATTTGCAAGTTAACAGGAGGGTGTTACCTAGCAAGTGTGATATAGTCCCTAAATTCTTATTTATTTGCTTTCTTTTATTTTAATTAGCAGTTAGCTAAGGAAACACCTTTTGCACGTCACACCTCACAATTTTAGATTCACCACACACATTTCATTTTCTCTTTCATTCTTTCTTTAGTTTATCTTATTCTTTATTTTTCAGCATCCTAACTTCATTTTTAGGCATCAACCAGCCATCAAACCTCCACAAAACCTACACCATTTTTATATTCCATCTAGCTCATCCTATATTTCTCATTATCACAAAGATCTAAGCTTAATTTCTTCATCTAAGCGTCCATGGAACTCGATCTTCACAAGCTCTTCTTAGTGTTCTTGAAGATGAAGATGTTTGGCTAAATTTCTTGGTGGAATCTTAGAGAGATGAGATCATGATCGGGCATGATAAGAGGCTAGACTAATCTAATTTGATTTATATGGCATGTTTAATATTTATACAACAGTAGTTTGTTTACTATTTTGTAGCATATGTTCTGTTCTTTTGCGCGCATACAGACCTCCGTGGTGCCAACACAAAAAATTGTTTCTTTTAATTCATGTCTTTAGATAGTGAGACGTTGCTCTCTCTCTCTAAACAAATTGTAACGACATGCGTTGGCAATTGTTTATCCTGAATGAATTTAAATTCACATTAATTTTGGAGTTGGTGCATCGTTAAAGATATGTTTTAGTTCTTTGGTAGCAATTAGGTCAAACAATCGGAGCTAACGGAAATAATGAGACTGGATGAATTCGCATAAATGGGAATGGTGATCTTGTAACTCCGAATAATACGGACGAGCAAGAAAGGCAGGGGAAAACTGTAAATACATATATAAAGATAGAAGCATATAATCTGTTTGGTAAGGAACTTTATAATAAAGATAGAAGTACCCAAAATTGGAGGATGATAATGACCAGGACATGTTTTTGCCTATTGATCAGGAGCTTAATATGCTGCAAAACAGTTTATTTTCTCTTCCTTTTAGAATTTCTCTTTCCGTGGTAAATTAATTGAATATTTGCCAGTTGCACCCCTGTCATTGATCACTTGTATCGCCAATGAACATTTGAAAGGAGCGTCTCAGGTTTCCCAAACTCTAGCCCTATTCCGCTAACTATTGTGGCCATCTTTTCAAATTGGACTGGAGAGCTGAACCGCTATGTACAAAATTTGAAACAAGTGATTTATTTAAAAAAAATGATAATAAAATACTTTTAATTATATAAATGATAATTTAATTCTTCAAAATGTCATAATTTTACTGAAATCTTTAAAAACTTTTCTATTATTAATGAATTTATATAAATGATCAATTACTCTTGCTAAAAATAAAACGATTCACAAATTTTATTTAAATAATCACAATTTTTTTCTTATATTTGCAATAATACAATAACAAATTACAACTTCACATGTTAAATTCTTGATTTGCTATTACATTGTTACATGTATAAAAAGAAAATTGTGATTATTTAAACAAAACTTGTAAATCATTTTATTTTAACAAAAATAATTTAATTATTTATATAAATTCATTAATGATAGAAAAGTCTCTAAAGACTTCAATGAAATCATAACATTTTAAAAGATTAAATTGTTATTTATATATTTTAAATGTCTTTTATTATCATTTTCCCTATTATTTATAACTTGTAAACATTATATAAATTTTTAAAATTTATATTATATATGAATACATAGACATGAATACAAACATACCACGCCCACAAAAAATATTAGATACAAAAGAAAATTTCCATTCCAATCATGGTCCCCCGTAAAATATATGTTGTTAGAAAAGGAAATTCATTCCACCACCCAAAAGAATGAAACTAGTATGGTGCGTCTGGGATCTCCATTTGATGCTCAAATTTGGCACACAGAGGGTCCGGAAGCTTAAAATTTCTCATCCCACTATCTTGAACCGTGACAGCATCTATATGGTTGCTTATGATACTTTTTATACGCAATCCTTTCCCTCAATCACACTCCTTTCCCTTAAAACGTATTCATTCCCTTTGATGGAATCTTCATCATCTTCTCTGCAACAGCGCAGATCATAGATATTAGGTATGGAATGAGAAGCGAGTCTGGACTTCATTTTCGGGAAAACCCGTGTCTATGGATAATTTCAAAAACCGAATTTAACTTAGAAAACCCAAAGATTTCAAGGAATAACGGCGGATGAAACCACATCTTTGTCAAAAATTCAGAGGCAGATGCCTAGTTTTAACGTCAACACATGTTCAGATCTTTCTCGGATTTATAAAAAGAAAAAAATCACAGTACCTCACTACCAAGGAAGACCAGCCTCTAAATCCAGCGGAAATAAGATGATAAGCGGTGACATTTCGCTGGGTTCGAGGCTCTCTTGATAACAATATTATTGGCCACCCGGCACCTTTAAGGTTTATGTATAATCTTAAGACAAGCTTAAGCTTTAAATCCCTTGCCTCCTTCACACATTCACTCACTCTGTAGTTATAAAACCTGCACCAAGGAGAGCTTTTCTTGTCATGTTCCTATCAATGATAACAATGAAGCAAAGTGCCAAGGTGGATAAACAATCCAAAAGAAGCTCAACAATAATCAATAGAGATTTTGGTAGTCTGAATTCTGAAGAAACTGAGAACGGAAACCATATGGGAAAAATAAAAGTTAAGGACATCATAATCTTATTGTCTCCAATCTGAGCAGTCTTCTTCATTACTCAGTATCAGAGAACATTAATACTGCTAGCAAATCTACCAGTTCAAGGACATTCATTATATTGCTGGTTACTTTAAGAATACGAGATTTAGTTGTTATGTTTACCATAAAGTGAACTGCAAACCCTAACAGCCCCCCGGGGGGGGGGGTTTAAGAAACTATGTTTTGAAAAGATAAAGGGGAATTGTCCTGAGGTTTAAGGGAGGGGTGGGGACTCGGAGATCTTCAAAATAAACCTTAACATAAGATACCAAGAATTATAAGTTGCTGCCAATGTTTTTGAGGTTACCGGTGAAACCAATTGGAAGAATGAGGATATGAAGGAAAAAGGTCATCTATCTCGATCAACACCACATCAAAACCATCATCTGATGGTCTGACAAGGCTAAAGTAATCCTCAATCAGAGACATGGTTGAATCCAGTCTGCAGCGTACTGACCTCCTTTAACATACTGTATAGCAGGATCTCTACAAACCTCAGGAAGATTGTAACCTTCCAAGTTATTAAACTCGGCATGCAGAGCACGAATCTTGCAATAACTGTAACAATTATGAATACTCTGGAGCTCAATAACTCCGGCATGTTTACTTTGACAAGACTGCAGCATCACAGCCAATGAGATCAGCAAAGTAATTAACAAAACCCCAGCAGTGACAAGTCCCGTGATGAAGATTGTTGCAGCGAAAGAAGTCATGTAGAATCCTGATTCCACAACATGATGGCTCTCCATCCCTGTCACGGGAATGCAGCAGCAAGATTTGTCATCAATAGCACAATTCTAAAACAACAGTAGGAAATATAATCAGATTGAATGATAACACAGCTGAGAATAAGCAATACCCTATTATCTACCAGCGTCGGCATCAATCAAATGCTTCGGCTTGAAATGGTCAAATGGTAACAAAATCACCTAAAAAGGCCCAATTATTTTTAGATTTCTCCAATTCCTATTTGTGGGGCATGTTATGAAACTATATCATTGATCTATGTACCATCGATGAGAACTAAAAGACGAAGCCTTTGAGTGCAGGTGAATCTATTTACAACTAGCATCTACTATAGATTGTAATCATTCTTATTTGTTTGATTCATTTTATCATTTATTGACCAGATGAAAGGGATTTAAAAAGTGAGAAACTTGAGGAGTCACAAAACATACCAGAACCACTTGAGAGACTTCCTGCAGAATATTGTCGCTCCATTTGATGGGCATATGCAGACTTGACTAAAATCCAGCTCAAGTTACTGATTCAACTTGCTTCCAGAAGTCAAGAAGTCACCAAAAATTTTTTTTTTTTGAATAAAAATCTGGTCATCATTCATTACTTCAGTTTAAGTCTCACAAATCAACAAAATCGGCAAAATATAACCAATCCAAAAACAAACAAGCAGAACTTGTAGAAAGGAATCACTGATATGCAAAAAAATTATAACCTAAAATCACTATTGCAAGAAACCTGCTCAAACCCTTCTCCTTGCAGTCCCTGCTAACAAAATTTGGCAATGCTATAACCCCAATGAACTTTTGAATAATTTACTTCTCCCTCTAGCTTATTCATTTAGCTCGACCATTCCAATCCCAAACAGCCTATAAAATTTAATCCCAGCAGCAACAGATACAAGATGAAATTAACCAATTTCAGAATATGAAACATACAGGCTGCGTCGACAAAGCTATCAGACCTTGAAGCATCCGATTTAGTGGATGTCCAATCCCTCACAGTAAAACCCGAATATGATCCGAACAAGATCAAAAGAAAAGGGGTGAGAAGTTGGCGCTTATTACTGTGTTTTCGTTGGTCACTCTAGGGAGGCTGGGAGCGTGGGAAGAGCACCAGAGTAAAGCATCATGTGTCTCAATGAATTCAGCAAGGAAGTAAAGGTCTGCAAAAATGATGGGACTAGGACGCCCCCAAGGATACATGATTCTACGTTGTCGGTTACATCAGGCTCCCTTCGCAGGAAGCTTCCTCTGGTTTTTTTTCCCCTCCCATTTGTTAGTTTGTTTTTCTCTGCTGCGCTGCCTTAATTCTCAAATTGTAGGAGTCATGCAATAGCGTCCAGAGTCGTATGTCTGTGCGAGGAGTTCGAACGATGTCGTTTGTCCCTTTTCTTGTGATCGTAACCATTCCATAAATCAACGAGTCTGAGAGCGACCAGTGCATTCGCTTGCTAAAGACGCTCTCTCTCTCTGGTTTACAATGCCATTGGCTCTGCCACTCTTCTCTGACGACGTGGCGGTGGGGTATTTTCCCATTGTTCTCCGACAGCGTGGAGTGGAGCCTCCATGGGGAGTGGGGTTTGCTTGCAAGTTTTGTGTTTTATTATGTATCTGTGGGTGTTTTTCCTTGTTTGCCCAAATGCCAGCAAAATTCCAATTACTCAGAAGATGAAGGAATCCAGTTCTCGATAGATTTCTTCTATAGTCGATAATCAACAAATCTAACTTGCATTAAAATAAAATGGCGAAAGAGAACCAAATAAAAATTGCATCAACCTTTTCTTGTTGTTCTGTATCAAAACTCTCGAAAAATTGTCGTTGACACTGCTGGCATGAGAATCTTGGGAAGACGCAGACAAATCATTATCACAGGACGATTTGCGAAGACGCGGCTGGAAACTCCGCGCGTCTACGTGGCGAGAAGCCAACATGCGGTGCGAAATCAGGGGTGCTTTAAATGTGGTTTTAACTTCAACGGTGGAGATTGCTTGTTTTATTTGCAAGGCTAGGATTATAAACAAAGCCAAAACGACATTGTTTTAGCGCGCCGACCCGCATCCGAAGGCTTCGCATACGCTGAATCTCGAAAATGCCATGCAATTAAAAAAAAAAAACCAACAAAATGATATATTATTTAAATTCTCTAGATTTTTTTTTTAAATAAATTACTAAAAGTGAATTGAACGGACACTTAATTATTGGTTTATGAATCATGGCCATGATTTTCATGGTTCGCATTATTTGCAACCATTGCATAGGGAAGATTTGTTAAAAAAAAAAAAAAAAAACTCGAATGTAATGCTCTTGACTTGGAGAGCCACAATTTCGTTTCTCAGTTCTCAAGGAAATCAGACCAAAGTAGAATCCATGGTTTGAAATTGGGGTCAAGATTTGAGCGCTGCGAGGTGCATCTGACACGACCGCAGAACAGTGACAGTTACGGCAGAGGTCACAAACTAACAAACACTTGGGCAAGCAGCTCCCCACCATATCTCTTTATAGAGGACCAGATCATCACCACATAAAAATACTTGCCATGCTAAATTACCCCATTTATCAGCCTATCTTCTCAGCGACTCCCACGTGGCACTCCTCACGTACTGAGCCACTTATCTCCTATCCTCCTCCTCCACCTCTCCGTTCCCATTTCCACTCGTTGCTATGCAATAACACTCCCCTGCAAGCAGTATTACACGACATCTCGCGGCCATGGAGACGGGCATTGCTTGCTTCGCCAGAGGCACCTTCCTTCCTAGTGTTTCTTCCAACCACTCTCCTCCGTCCATCTCTCCGTCTTTTGGTTTCCCGGTATGGATCCTTTGATTTTCCCTCCTGTGACGTCAACATCTGTAGATTTCGTCAACACGTTTGTAAAACATGTCTGTTGTGAATGACAGAGTCTGAAATCAAGCTCTTTGTTGGCGAATCACTCAGAGTGACGTCCAAATCAACTGTAAATGTTTCCAAGCCAAGGGATTCTTCGCTTGTGACCAGATGTGAAATTGGTGACAACCTGGTGAGTTGCTTGTTTTCACGGCATCAATCTCTCGACTTTTAACGGCGGGAAGACTCAAATTTTGGGTTGCATCCATCATGCTATGTTTTTATTTGTGTCATTTTAGGACGAGTTCCTTAGCAAGGCAACACCGGACAAGGGACTGATCCGGTTGCTGGTGTGCATGGGAGAAGCATTGAGAACTATTTCCTTCAAAGTGAAGACAGCTTCTTGCGGTGGAACTCAATGTGTTAATTCCTTTGGAGACGAGCAGCTTGCCGTGGATTTGCTCGCCAACAAGCTCCTTTTTGACGTAAGATTTCCACTTTCAGTCTGTTCCAGACTGAGGGAAAGAATTGCATCGGCATTTCTAATGTCAACTAGCTTTCTATTTTGAATTTTTTTGTCTTGTCATGTTGGAACCCGATCTAGGCAACGATTACCGTTTACAGTTCAATATCTGAAGTTCATTATCATGTTAGAACATCATCTAGACATCTATTACTGATGTAGGAGTTAGGAGCTACTTGTTTTGCCTATGAAGTTTAACTATTAAACTCTTTGTATCTTAGAGTTGAACCCTTGATACATTGAAAGAATATAGTTTACTCCAACTAATTAGAATGTCCTAAAATGGCGAAAGAGAACCCAAATAAAAATTGCATCAACCTTTTCTTGTTGTTCTGTATCAAAACTCTCGAAAATTGTCGTTGACACTGCTGGCATGAGAATCTTGGGAAGACGCAGACAAATCATTATCACAGGACGATTTGCGAAGACGCGGCTGGAAACTCCGCGCGTCTACGTGGCGAGAAGCCAACATGCGGTGCGAAATCAGGGGTGCTTTAAATGTGGTTTTAACTTCAACGGTGGAGATTGCTTGTTTTATTTGCAAGGCTAGGATTATAAACAAAGCCAAACGACATTGTTTTAGCGCGCCGACCCGCATCCGAAGGCTTCGCATACGCTGAATCTCGAAAATGCCATGCAATTAAAAAAAAAAAACCAACAAAATGATATATTATTTAAATTCTCTAGAATTTTTTTTTAAATAAATTACTAAAAGTGAATTGAACGGACACTTAATTATTGGTTTTATGAATCACTGGCCATGATTTTCATGGTTCGCATTATTTGCAACCATTGCATAGGGAAGATTTGTTAAAAAAAAAAAAAAAACTCGAATGTAATGCTCTTGACTTGGAGAGCCACAATTTCGTTTCTCAGTTCTCAAGGAAATCAGACCAAAGTAGAATCCATGGTTTGAAATTGGGGTCAAGATTTGAGCGCTGCGAAGGTGCATCTGACACGACCGCAGAACAGTGACAGTTACGGCAGAGGTCACAAACTAACAAACACTTGGGCAAGCAGCTCCCCACCATATCTCTTTATAGAGGACCAGATCATCACCACATAAAATACTTGCCATGCTAAATTACCCCATTTTATCAGCCTATCTTCTCAGCGACTCCCACGTGGCACTCCTCACGTACTGAGCCACTTATCTCCTATCCTCCTCCTCCACCTCTCCGTTCCCATTTCCACTCGTTGCTATGCAATAACACTCTCCCTGCAAGCAGTATTACACGACATCTCGCGGCCATGGAGACGGGCATTGCTTGCTTCGCCAGAGGCACCTTCCTTCCTAGTGTTTCTTCCAACCACTCTCCTCCGTCCATCTCTCCGTCTTTTGGTTTCCCGGTATGGATCCTTTGATTTTCCCCTCCTGTGACGTCAACATCTGTAGATTTCGTCAACACGTTTGTAAAACATGTCTGTTGTGAATGACAGAGTCTGAAATCAAGCTCTTTGTTTGGCGAATCACTCAGAGTGACGTCCAAATCAACTGTAAATGTTTCCAAGCCAAGGGATTCTTCGCTTGTGACCAGATGTGAAATTGGTGACAACCTGGTGAGTTGCTTGTTTTCACGGCATCAATCTCTCGACTTTTAACGGCGGGAAGACTCAAATTTTGGGTTGCATCCATCATGCTATGTTTTTATTTGTGTCATTTTAGGACGAGTTCCTTAGCAAGGCAACACCGGACAAGGGACTGATCCGGTTGCTGGTGTGCATGGGAGAAGCATTGAGAACTATTTCCTTCAAAGTGAAGACAGCTTCTTGCGGTGGAACTCAATGTGTTAATTCCTTTGGAGACGAGCAGCTTGCCGTGGATTTGCTGGCCAACAAGCTCCTTTTTGACGTAAGATTTCCACTTTTCAGTCTGTTCCAGACTGAGGGAAGGAATTGCATCGGCATTTCTAATGTCAAACTAGCTTCTAATTTTGAATTTTTTTGTCTTGTCATGTTGGAACCCGATCTAGGCAACGATTACCGTTTACAGTTCAATATCTGAAAGTTCATTATCATGTTAGAACATCATCTAGACATCTATTACTGATGTAGGAGTTAGGAGCTACTTGTTTTGCCTATGAAGTTTAACTATGAACTCTTTGTATCTTAGAGTTGAACCCTTGATACATTGAAAGAATATAGTTTTACTCCAACTAATTAGAATGTCCTGTGTTATATGCACAGGCCTTAAGACACTCACACTTCTGTAAATATGCTTGCTCAGAGGAAGTTCCTGAACTCCAGGACATGGAAGGTCCAGTTGAAGGTCTGCAGTCTATCTTAAACTGAGAAATTACGATTTGGATGTGTATAGTGATGACATATATGATGTTGTCATTCGTGTGGAATATGCGACTGCAGGTGGATTTAGCGTTGCATTTGACCCGCTTGATGGCTCCAGCATCGTGGACACAAATTTTACTGTGGGCACAATCTTTGGTGTGTGGCCTGGGGACAAGTTAACAGGGATCACTGGAAGAGATCAAGTAGCTGCAGCCATGGGAATATTTGGTCCAAGAACCACATACGTCCTTGCTCTCAAGGACTATCCTGGAACACACGAATTTCTTCTACTTGATGAAGGTTAGGTCTTTTCCATAGATTATCTCTCAGTTTAGTAAATCGTTCAATTGGAAAACTGATTCTGGAAACTTTTTGTTTGACAATAGAGGTTCAGACTTCAGGAAATGACAATGCTTTCTGATTTGTTTATCAGGAAAATGGCAACATGTTAAGGAGACCACAGATATTGGTGAAGGAAAAATTTTCTCTCCTGGAAATTTGAGAGCTACATCTGACAACCCTGAATATAATGAGGTCTATCTAGTCTTACATCAAGAAACACGAATTTTTGTTCTAAATCTCGTGTGATATATGACATTTGGAATTGAACACTTACACCTTAGTTCATTTATCATCCTACAGTTGGTCAACCACTATGTGAGAGAAAAATACACATTGAGATATACAGGAGGAATGGTACCAGACGTGAACCAGGTTCTTTCTTGATTTTCTCATGATATTGCCTTATCTTGAAACAAAGTTTGGAAGCTGACATTTACCCTGGCAGAACATGATCCTATAAACGTGTTCTTCTTGTGTGCAGATTATCGTGAAAGAGAAAGGCATATTCACAAATGTGGCGTCTCCATCAGCCAAAGCCAAGCTGAGGCTGCTGTTTGAGGTAGCTCCTTTAGGGTTCTTGATTGAGAAAGCTGGAGGTTTCAGCAGTGATGGTCGTCAGTCTGTGCTAGACAAGGTCATAAATAACCTTGATGAGAGAACTCAAGTTGCTTATGGATCCAAGAATGAGATCATCCGGTTCGAAGAAACTCTCTACGGTTCTTCCAGACTCAAGGGTGGTGTTCCAGTTGGAGCAGCTGCTTAAGCTGTTCAGCTGCAATCCCATCGGCAAGGTTCATCTGTTTTTTGGGCGCAGAAAGATGTGTTGTTATCAATCTCGCCGTCAAGTGATTATGATTTAGTAACATATTTCCAGTTTATGGTGATAACAAAGTTAAATTGATGTTGATAAGACTCGGATGATCTTGTTAAGTTCACTTTCCATTAAGCAATCCCTTCCCTTGTGAATTATATTTTGGCTCATTGTAAAGTTACAGTATTTTAAATCCACTCTCTAAATCGAAGTTTTAATGAGAACACTATGGGTAAATAAGGTTTTCTGTAGCTCTACGAGGGGAGCGTTATCAAGCTATCAAAGTCTTTGTAGTTATCGCAGGACATGTTTTGAAATGTCGGGGTAATGGGAAAATGTTGGATGCAAGAGAGAGACCATTTTGGAAAGTGAAAATTTCCTAGTTTGGCCTTGTCGTTATTTGTCCGGAAAGCATAACATGTTATATTCTCAAATTAGCAGGACGAAGTTAGCTTTTTGAATCTCATGATTACTCTCCTAATATAAAGGCCGTGCTCATAGAGAAGAGCTAGCGAATAAGATCTGATCCATTAGACTAACGGAACATCCTCATCACTCAAAAGTTGTACAGCCCAGACTTGAGAGTACATTCATTTTAATTTTCTCTATTGCTTCTGGATGAGTCAGCTTCAGAAAATGCTTGACTTTCACCCTCATCAGCTGCAGGATGGCAAATGGCATGGTTCAGTTGGAGGCATAGTCTGTGCACCATTGGACACAGTTTGGGCCGTTGTTTCTCAAACTAAGAGACTACCGGAGTGGATGCCAATGGTGGAAAGATGCACTGGTTTGGCTGGAGACGAAGATGAGCCGGGCTATGTTCGGCTCGTCTCTGGTTTTATGTTCCCTAAATCAGATGGAGAGAGGTCATGGATCAAGGAGAGGTTGGTTTCCTTGGACTCTTCATCACATAGTTATGTTTACAGAATGGAAGCGAGCAATGTAGGTTTGGGTGGATCTGTAAATTCACTGAACCTCGCTGACTATGGCCATGGCTCTACTCTTGTTCGCTGGTCGTTTGACATGAATCTCTTAAAAGATGCGAACCAGGATAGCATTATAGATTATCTGGGATTTCTCTATAAATCTTGCATTAATAGAATCGAGGGTGCCGTAGAAGCTGAATCAAGAAATGCTTCGGCATCAAAACTTTATGTTGTTAGTTCTCTAGTAAATTCCATGATCAAACTAGTTGATTCGATTTCCTTTAACTGGGCTATCCTTCTACGGCCTGAAGATGGGAAAAAAATCAAACAATGACTGTTTGAATCGCGCGCCATCTCATTCTCAACCATATCCTCAAATTTTTTCAACCCAAATTTGCAAACGTTGGATATCAAATATGAGCCTTTTCTTTTCTTTTTTTCTTTTTGCCAAAGCTTACTTGATTTTCACATCATATAGAATAAAGTTTAATAAGTTATATGTAAGTTAAAGGACTCATAAAGTCCTCGGGAAAAAAAAGTAAGACTCGTAAATTTATTGTTTTGAAAATAATTATTTAGTTGACTAATCACATTTTTGTGTGTGGCTATAATAGCAATTTTCTAACATATCTCCTGCATGTTCAAGTACCTTGGCAACTTTTTTAACATAGAAAAAGGAAATCTAAAGAGTAGATCTGGCGCCGGAAGCAATCATATGATGAATGACTAGTCATGTTATCATATATTTGATTCTCAACTCTTACGAGTAAGGAGAGCTTTTTTTCCCCCCTGTGAAGTAGCAAATTTAATTATAAATTATTTTTTTAAAAGTATTTGATGGCCTAAATTATCAAGTGATGTGAAATAAATTAAGAATTTTTAAAAATAAAGCATATAGTATTTCGCCGTTAACTCCAATTAACAAACATTATGTGAGGCTCACAATAACACGTGGCATGACATGTTAGCATGATAAAGGTATAAATTTAGTCATGAACTATTTTTTGAAAAGCATTGGGTAGCTTCTACTGTAAAAAAAAAAGGGGATCATCCAACACTTTTTCCTGAATTTTGACCAAACACAGTTTATTTGCATATTTATGATGCTCATAAAGCATTAATTTCTTCAATCTTCTTGCCTTCGTTCTCAATATTAGCTCAAGAAAAAGTTGTTCAAAGAGTTCTTATATAAAGATATTCACAAAGACAATGCCAATGAAGTAGAAAATTAATTTTACAATACATGAGAGAAACTTGATTCTAGCTTAATTTAACCACGAATTATATCCTCTATTTTGTTAGCGTCGTCTTTGTGAATGTTTTCAAATAAAAACTCTTTAAATATCTTCTTGAGTTGAGATTGAAAACGAAGGTAAGAAGATTGGAGAGATTGATGCTTTGTGAACCTTATAAGTATGAAAATAAATGGTGTTTGATCAAAATTAAAGGAAAGATGTTGGATGGTTCATTTTTTTTATAGTAAAAGTTACTCAATACTCCTCAAAAAATAGTTCATGACTAAACTTGTACCTTTATCATATTGACATGACATGCTCGTATTATGCCACATGTTATTGTGAGCCTCACATAATGTCTATCAGCTGAAATTAACGACGAGTTACTAGATGTTTCATTTTTGAAAGTTCGTGATTTATTTTATACTATTTGATAGTTTAAATTATTAGATGCTCCTTGAAAAATAATATATAACCAAATTTGCATTTTTATGCTTTTTAGTGTGTTTTCAACTTGAATTTCAATCATCTTTACCCATAAGTGCGGGAGCCAAGGTAAGCCAAATTTTTTTATGCAAGTTAGCTCAACTTTTAGTTTTAAGGGAATATAGTTAACCAAGTAGGTGTGACACAAATGTTAATGGTTTGAGCCTTTTAAACATAATTTCAAAGCTTAATTTCTGAAGGTACATATGGAAAGCCCTTCTTGAGAAAGGATAACTTTTAAATGACATTTCAATCTCTTTATAGATGAGTCTCATAGTTACCATTTATGGAAATACTTCGGAAATAAAAAAAGGAATGTAGCTATGGACTTCAATATCACCCCATTAAAGTTAGGGCAAGACTTATATACTTAAATTTATATATTTCACATATTTTTATCCAATTAAATTAAGATAAATAGATTTTTATGTGTTAATAATATTAATAATAATAATTTATTATAGAATATATCATTTATAAGTATAAAAATGATTTAACTAATAAAAAACATATTAAATGTATAAGGTTAAGTATGTAAGTTTTTGAAAAAATTGCTAATAAGTCTCTCCTTGAAATCAACCAAAGGACTATGGTGCATGCATATAGACTTAAGGTGCAAGTAGATAGATTTGAAATTCCATGGTTATTTGCTTGCTTTCTAAGCTTATCTACTTGCACCCTGGTTCTTTAGTCTTCCAGCATAATTTGAATCACAATGATGGACTTATTAGCTATTTTCTCTAAGTTTTTTCCTTAAAGTTATGATAGTCCCCTCTCCTCATTTACTTCTAGCATATTCCCTACATAATTGAGTGCCTTATCAAATAACAACATTTTTAACACAAAAAGCAAACACAAAGTAGATCCGACAATGGAAGCTGTCATTTGGTCAATGGTTAGTCATGTTAAAATGCAAAACTTAATCGCACATTAATAGAAATTGAATAAAATTAGAAAAATGAAAAATTCGCAAATCAAAATTTGTTAGGGAATAGAGAATCAAATAATATATTTTTATAATATATATAATAAAAATAAAATAAATTTTAAAGTTAAAATTAATTACTAAGATATATATTAAAATACACAGTTTGAAAACAAATACATTACTAAATCATAACATCATTTCACAACATTTTGAAACATTTAAAAATGTTATTTAAACAAGCAAGTTAAAAACAGTCATGGTTAGATTACAAAGCCCGAGATTAAGCTGATTAAAACAAATTTATCTTACTGCTAACAATTAACCGCGGTTGACAATATGGAATTGATGAACATAATTGATATTGATGATTGAATTTTTTTTTTTTCCCTCGGGGTCAATTCATCATAGTTAATTTTGTAAATCTCTTAGACCTGACACGGATAATCTGTTTTTGGGATGAGCTACGTAAATGAGATTGGTTTAGATTTGCAAGAACTGACCCTTATTCCACCTTCCTGCAATAGATAAAGGAGACAGCAATTATGGGTAATAAAAAAAAAAGAAGGGAAATCAAGAATTATGGGTAATGGGAAGAAAAGGGGGTTTGCAGTTGGGCAGTATGTTTCAACTTTTAACCATCACATAAAGGCTTCTGTCATATAGAATGACTGCCAACTTGTGTAGCATGCAAGAAAACTTTGGTGGTACACATGGCTGCCACTCTGTATTCACCTAGCTTTTATAAAACGACATGGCACCCAAGGTTGTTTCGTCATATAAAATATAGCTGGGGCGGTGAGTCACAGACAGAAAGAAGTCATTTGTTGAAGAGAATGGAGCCACGGCTTCTGGCATTAATGTTTCCTGTGGCTCTCTCATTTCCAGCATTTGCTCAGTCTCTGGCTCGTCCCTATTAGTTTAGCGTAAGTGCATTTCCCATTATAAGCCGAGTGCAAGTGCATTTCCTATCCTATCCCCTGCTTTTCTTTTCCTTTTCTTTTTCTTGTTTTTTATCCTCTGCTTTTCTTATTAAGAAAGAAAGGAACAACAATAAGAAAAACTGGCATGCAACAAATATCAGGCGGTAAATGCGCCATCTATGAAAGATCTCCGGTACTCAAAATGGTAAAATAAACTTGCTTTGCATTGAAAGGACACCAAAACAAAGTGAAACAGAGAGGCATATTTATTGTGGTGGTCAGTGTGTACACTGTACAGGTGGTCTTGAAGAACACAACAAAACTTTGCTCCTCAAAATCATTCGTCACTGTCAACGGAAAGTTCCCGGCTCCAACTCTCTATGCCAGAGAGGGTGACAATTTAATTGTAAGGGTCACCAACCACGCTGCATACAACGTTACAATCCACTGGTGAGAACCGCTTGCCGATAAAATTACAAGGAGACGACCGATAATATTAACAACAATGCATTTTGGACTCATGGCAGGCATGGACTCATACAGTTTCGAACTGGCTGGTCTGATGGACCAGCATATATTGCACAATGCCTGACGATCCCGCCAGGGCAGGGCTCTGTGTACAACTTCACCGTCTCAGGACAAAGAGGCACCCTCTTCTGGCATGCGCATGTGACTTGGCTAAGATCCAATGTGCATGGTGCCATTGTCATTTTACCCAAGCGAGGCGTTCCCTATCCGTTTCCTGAACCTCGCGAAGAAAATGTCATTATTCTAGGTCAGTCTCAAGGTTCAAGCAGGGGTTTTCTTTTCATGGACATTTCTGCGTTTTAATGGTTTTGCTCGTTTGTTTGATGTGTTGAGTTCAGGTGAATGGTGGAAAGCAGAGGTTGAAGCCGTGCTCAATCAGTCAACAATAACCGGCCTACCACCGAACATATCAGATGCTCATACCATCAATAGCCTTCCGGGACCAGTCCCCCGCTGCACTACTCATGGTACGTATAAATAGAGAGAGAGGGCATCTTATAATTAAAATCTGAATATTTTTTCTACCAGAAAAAAAGTGTTTCCTGACATTCAAATTTGGTCTTACAAATCAAATAAACTGTCTTGGAGCTGATGTGAACCTTATGGCAGGGGGCTACACTCTGCATGTTTGAAAGCGGCAAGACATATCTTCTTCGAATCGTGAATGCAGCCGTGAACGATGAACTCTTCTTCAAAATTGCTGGGCATAATCTGACTATTGCAGAAGCAGATGCCTCTTACGTTAAGCCGTTTGAGACGGATACAATATTCATTAGCGCAGGTCAAACTACGAACGCCCTCTCGACGGCAAATCAAGGTATTGGCAAGTACTTAATTGTACTCGGTCCTTTCATGGACGCCCTTGTTGGCTTCGACAACTTGACCGCAATTGGTACACTTGGTTACAAAGGCACGCCTCCTTATCCCAAAACTATTCTCACCGGCATTCCTCCTCTGAATGCAACTCCAATACCAACCAAGTTCCTCCATTCTATCAGAAGCTTTAATTCTAACGACAACCCTGCACGAGTTCCATTGACCATAGACCACATTCTTTTCTTCACAGTATCAGTCGGGGTAAACCCATGTGACACGTGTGTCAATGGGACCAAGCTTGTATCTGATATTAATAATATCCGCTTTGTGCTGCCATCCATGGCCCTTCTGCAAGCACATTACTACAACCAAGAAGGGGTTTACAAGGATGATTTTCCGGCCAGCCCACCCACGGTTTTCAACTACAGCGGTACTCAACCGCCTAACATCCAGACCAGCAATGGCACGAAAGTGTACAGATTGAATT